CATTTTACATAGTAGCAATACAAAACAAAAATAAACGCAAGGCTGTGCTGCTACACTCAATTACATTACAAGGGGAGTAGCTCGTCAAATAGCTTGTGGGTCTGCCAATGCCGATTTCGGCAAAGTGTCAGATTAGTCAACAAGATTAAGCTTTCTGTATGTGCCGACAAACACAGGCTCTTAATAAAACAAACAAAGACGAGGTTTGCACTTCAAATGCAAAAGAACAAGACCTCCAGTTAAAAAAAATGAAACGCATACTAACCGTGAGATGTAGTTTGAAATTGAACATAGGCGTTCTCGAGCCCGAAATAATTTTAGCATAGAATCGGCATTTTGCTTTTAAGATAGAGCTGTGGGAACCAAGCAGGTCTTCGTTAGGTTGGACCTTTTGTCCAGAGTGAAGCGCTGTTCTTTGGACATCTTGCACCCCAAAAGCTGAGCACCCCTAGTCTGATCCCGGCACCTTTCGCCGTAGTCATCTCAAGACGTCATCTTGAACTAAACAGGTGTTCTTTTATCCAATGATCCGAAAAAAGAATGCGTACCCTAATCAAAGTAATGGTCACGGGGAATGCAATGTATGCTCGTGAAGCTTCTGCCCACAATGCCTTTAAAGGGATACTGCAACGAAATTTCGGCGCTCATTTTTTGTTCTATATGTGTTCAAAGGAGCAGTATCACATCGAACAAAGGAATTTTAAAACAAATTAAAAGATTAGCAAAGAGCACCTGGTGGATGTCGCTAACGCTTCGCTTGTAATGCCCATCTAGGAACCTTGACAGCTAGTAACGGTAAGTGTCTCGCCTCTGGCCACGACGAGAGAAGAGGGGCAGGAGGAACTCCCCTCTTCCCGAGAATGCCTTTTGTGTGTCGCAGAAGTCGCTATTGTCCCCCTACAAGATTATAGAAGATTAACCCGTCACTCAAAATTCTTACAAAAGCAGCCACTTCGGTGGCTGGAACGACTAAGGCCATCCTCTCAACGTCAGCCTCGCCGTAGCTTTGCTCGTCCCGAGACGACCTACGTCACGATTGCGTTGGATGTCACGAGGTCTCCACTGGGCCTTCACCGAGCGCTTGCCAGAGTGGGCCGTTTATAACGAAAAATACAGCCACCAGGCTCAAAATACAAACGTTCGATTGTCACTTACGGATGTTGTGGATCATATTCAACCTATTTTTGAACACAACGGGAATATTTCAAATTTTGTTGAAGTATCCCTTTAATGTTTTGAACCAACGGAACAGTCGACCCGCCGAAGTACTTCGCAAGACGCGTTGTCTTTGCGAAATAGGGAAGGAGGTCACGAATCTCAGGGACTTTATGTTAGAAACAAACCATGGTCTGTGTGATAGCAAAGCCTCAAGGCCCCATTCACTGTAACACCTCCTCCCCCCCCCCCCCCCCCCCCTCTTTGGGGCACATAAGAAAAGAAAACAGTCGCTTGAGTTTTCGCGTGAAGGCCATAGATTCCTCAAAAATTGTAGTCATGATTGTACAGTCTAAGCTCATTATAACAGACCTTGATTTTGACCAAGATTTCGGTCTGTTGTAGAAGGAGTATGTTGCAGGCAGATATGAAGTTGAGTCAATGGTGCATAGAGGTAAACCAACCGAACCTCACAAATCGGTATGTTATGTCCAAATGTCTGTTGTAACCAGGTCTGTTATAATGAGCTTAGACTGTATCGCAATACAAAGAATACACGAGAAATGTATTCTGATACTGAAATACATACTATAGACCTTTTCATTTCAGTAATTGGCTGACCGCAGGGTAGAGGGCACTGGTGCACTCGCCACCATGAGGTTGCTTCAATTTGGTTGGTTTCGATTCCAACGCGCACGCGATTGTGTTGCTGTTTCATGCCATTTTCTCTTAATTTTGTGATACAAATTTCTTTCTTGTGCAACACAGCAAATGACACAATGGTGCTGAGTCACTTGGAGAACGACGAGGTGGTTTCGAGCCTAAATTGCGAGCACTTTTATGAACACCAGATGCATGTGATTACGTCCAATCGTCAATTTTGGCCAGGTTCGGCGGTGCAACAACTGCTCTGGTGCACAGAGATGATTACCGTGGCCCATGGCCGTACCCTGGGCCACGGTGTCCCGGGCGCTAGTTGCTAGAAAAAATAAAAAAATAAAGATCTGGAGATGCTCCGCGTTCAGCACGCGCTTCTTGCCTGCCGTCAGGCTTTGGCTGCGCGTGCACCGAGTGGTATGGAAGGGCTCGAGTTCATGTCAGAGATTCGACTGCTCATCTTATATTGTAACAGACTATAACGCATGAGTGCTTAGTGAAGAAGCAGGTCCACTGCATAATTAAAAATGTGCCGAATCACGAAAAACATATGAAGTGGCAAGTTTACGGTTTGGGTTTCGTACACCAACTATTGAACTTCACAGACTGGAAGTCTCCTATAATGATGTAAATAATATTTAAAAGAACTGTTATTCTCTCGGCCTGTTTTATTTAAATAAATCAAGTTCTCGAGAAATATTTTAATAGACCAACCTAGGCCCACTAATTTTTTTTTAAACCAAAGTACTCATTAACAAGATTTTATGATATTGGCCCAATGAAATAACTATTTGTGATATGGAGATTTGCATACGACGTTTTCAAGGTATGAAATAAGTGACAGGCCCCTCAAATGATGCCTGACATTACTCTCCCGTAAAATTCGCCAGATGAAATTAAAGGCCGCAAAAGAAGTGATTTTTGGTAAGTCTGGCTGAAGTCGAGCGCCAGGCGCCTCACAGTGAACCTGTGTAGAAAGCTCTTTACTGGTTTGAACCGATGCGCTTCCTAGATTTCGGCATCGCCAGCTGCTAAAGGTAAATCTCTATTCGCCGTCGACAGCGCTGCGTTCGTGCGATTTTAATGGAGACGGAGTCTCTTCAGCGTCACATATTGTGGACCCCAGGCACTCTCAAGCTGTCTGTGACAGTTTATTACACGGGAAGTCAAAACCTTTCTGTTGAAATGAATTAATTGAACTGGTTATCTTAACAAAATAGTTTGACAATTAAAATACTGTAGACATTTCCCTAATTACGCACAGTATAGTTTCTTGGAATTCATAAATAAACCGATCAGAGGAATGTTTATATAGCAGACACGATTAAGAACATCGAACAGATGTTCGTGTGATATTGTCAACAAACAAACTGCCTGATGTTGACGTACCATTATTTCTTGCATAAAACAACAAATTAAAATTAAACGTTTGTTACCTATCTTTTCCACGATTTCACCTATGTAATCAAAAGCCACTGTTTTCGATCTGTTATAAATACAAAACACGATGCTTTCAGGAAACACGTGGTTATTTAAACTGATTATTTTGTCACCTTACTTGTGATCCCAAATGCGCGATCATTATATACTTACATTGTGCTTCCTGTTGCGAATGTTCCGCCACTATTAGTAAGCAAACCCGAGTTCTCATAAGTTATTGACTTTTGAACCCTTCCGCTGTCTTAGAGTCATATATGTTATCAATGTGCGTGAGCGCTCATGCTGATTCATGTGCTCATAGCCTCTTCACACGTAGCCGGCACTCCGACGATAAAAATAGTCAAAACGTGTTACAAAATTAACTGCGGAAGTTGTTCACATAATCATGTAATGCAATTACACGGTAAATATTTAAGTATTGGATGACGCTTTACAGAGTGAGGTAAGAAACGCGGTGAAACTCGACTTAAAACACAAATTCTACGCATCCGCCAAGACGCGGAGTAGCACGGAGGGGAGAGCGAAGCGACGAGTTGAAGCAACCTAATGGCGGACGCGTCACGTGATTCCAAGATGGCAGCGCCCATGCCACGGAGGGTGAAAAGGTCTATACGGACTGAAAAATAGCACCGTGACACAAAAATGTGAATACGAAGAGTATTTCTAAAATACCTTCGCGATACATTGGTATCGTGATACTGCCCAACCGTGGCTCCAGTGCGTTGTGCTCTCGTGTAACTGCTCACGAGAGCACACTGGCATACTGGTGTGATCTACTAGGTAGCTCCGAAAGTGTGTACAACTACCGTAAAATCCTGATGAGGGCCCTCCCCCGAGAGATTGCCCATTCTGGTTTATATGGCTAAACATCCAAAGCATAAAAATTCCAAAGCATTGCCCACCCCACGATTCACGTTGGACATAGCGCAAAGTCCAACGGGATCGTATCCATTGCTCGATCAGTGGTGCCGATACGTGGGACAAGCGAGTTCGTAGCGTGTTCACGCATTTTCGTCTACGCGCACGACATGCAAGTTAGTGGCGGGTGCCCCCGTGTTTATTGCACCTGGCAACTCAAATCTGCTGTCCGTGATGTGCGGTGTTTGTGTCCGTGAGATGAGAGTTTGCTGCGGATTCCCGCGTGTCTTTCTCACCGTGAGACTCGAATCTGCGGCGTTTCAATCTGCGGTACCCTTTGCCGAGACACGGGAGTTTGTAGCCAGTTCCCGTGTGTATGTCGCGCCGCGAAATGCAAATCTTTCGTGTCCGCAATCTACGGTACCAGTTCCCATGTCACGTGGTATCTAGCGGGTGCCCCGGTGTTTATCATTACTTCTTGATAAAGTTTTGCTGTCGAATCACCAGAGATAGCCCACACCATGCTTTTCCGCCATCTATCGTATCTCTTTGTATGGGGTGGGTGTTCTTCACGATTTTACGGTAAAGGTTTCACACTACCTGCGAGATGAACGCTACGCACCGTCTATGGGAAGTTGTCGCTTCTAACAATGTTAGAATTATTTCGAGCCCACAGTGAATGAAGAATGCGCTAAAAACTCATAAAATTACTGGCTCATCGAAAGAAGGGTTCCATGGCTACCTAATGGATAACGCCAGTGCGCTTTCTTGTTTTAAGTGTTTACGATAGAATGCAACACACTTGAAGGCAAATGTGTGAAGCAGCATTTATAGACCGGAAAATAGCGTAACTAAATAGGCGTAAAAGAGTCAGCCGAATGTAGTCTTACATGAATGCCGGAAGAACGTGAAAAAGGCTTGGCTCCTGGCTTGTCCAGCACCATGTTCGGATAGGCAGATGCCAACGCCTTTCCCAGGGAGTTGTAGCTCCACCTAATGGTTGCGCTCGAGCCGCTCAGGACCAGGTGATTTGTGCTGGAAACAATGGCAAGGCGAGTCTGACCGAAGGCAACGATGCGGGTTAAAGACGACAAAAAATAGTGTCCTCCAACGTTTAGACGGCGGGAAGCTTTTCGGCCCCAATGGGTGTTTGACCTCGCCGCTGTAGATGCGAAATTCTGCTAAGGATGACCTGTAACGTCTGGTCTGTCCTAACGTATCGCTCCGGCTGTCCATCTTAAATAAACTGCACAGTGAACCAAGCTTAAATAGGACTGCAGAGCCTGTTGTCCTGCCAAAAAAAAAAGCATTCAGTTCCACCAAAATTTTTTGACAAAAGAGTAATGTAGCAAGAAAAAGAACAAGACGTTTTAGTGTGCAAAGTGTGAACCACCAGAACAAATAGAACTGGTAATGAAGTGTCCCAGACTGAAATTACAGTAATCTATCACTAACATGAACACCTCTGATTTTTGCGAAGATTGTCCATAATAATGAAACAGAAATGCATGTATTTACATAGCTCATCCCTGAAAAGTTTGTCCATACAGGGTGGTAATCATATTAAAGGGGGGGGGGGGGGGTGCAAGGATTTTCGGACTTCGATCAAACATTTGTGAAAGTTGCTCTCTGACCCTTCTAAAGTAAAGAACAGAAAACATATTTCGCCTGCATGTCCTAGTACTGGTGTAAAAAAAAAAGATCAATATTAGCATTTTTGGCACCCCTCAACTCGCTCCCAGTCTTCAGGGCCACACCCGGTCCACCTCTTAGCGACGTAATTCAAGGTGCTGTGTAGCTTCCCGTGTGCTTTCTCGAAGTATGCTTCCTCTCCCTCTCTCTGCTGACATTAGCGAGCGTTATGCTGCAGCTTAGAGCCGAGCGAAGTCACGTTATCTTTTCGCCATAGTTCCTTCGGCTGCCACTTACGGCCGCAAGTGGGGGAAAAAGCTTGACTTTTGCTTTGCGATTATGCAACGGAATCGCAACATTTCTGAATGAAGGAGGTGTTTTCTCTATCCTCCAGGACATGATAAACAACGTAAAAATGACAAGATGCAAATTCTTTTAATCTTATTGTTGCACCCCCCCCTTTAACAGGGTCCATATTAACGAGACATGACCGAACCCATTCCCACACTTAAATCACCCTTTTCATTAATGACATTAGAGCACTTTCAGCCCAGTAAAAATAGGCCTTATATATTGTTTTCCCATATTATGTCCTCACCGCACACTTCGACATTGCATACATGTCGTCAGTTCCCTTATAAACCTGAAAAATGGAAACGGCCTCCATCTTCCAAGGAAAAAATTCTTTATTTTCACTCGTTAAGGGCGCTATTTTGATCCCTTTAATGTCTTCCATGTATAGCGAAGAAACCCCGAGCACTCTCAGCAGAGACAGTGCAATCCATCATGGAAGGTGCCTAGCTCAATAAAACCAGAGGGTACAGAGTTGTGCTACAAAAATGGCACAAGAATAAATTATCTGTTCTGGACGAGCCTCCTCCAAACACAAACTAAACAAATGCTGCTCCTTTGAAGAAATAGTCATTGGGTGCCTCAAGTGATCTTGTTTACTGTGGAATGCATCTTTTGCACAAACGTGACATCAGCACCTTTGGGACAGAAACCGAAATCAGCCATTTGACTAAGCACCCACTAAGAGCACATTCAACATACCAGATTTGATGGCGGCATTCTAACTCCTTAAAGGGCCCATGAAACGAATTTTGGGCTGGAGTAAATCAATTTATATTGGGATTCTACTAATAGCACATCGTTCAGTGGGCCAAAAGAAAAAAGGTAGGAAGTCAAAAGCCTGACTTTCGGTACGAAAATTTGAGAAAACAGCGGACTATTTTGTACCTCCTTCTCTTCGTAAGCTCTCTGCCTTTTCACTGTGATACATCTGCGAACCCCGCAGCGCGTCATCGGGCCCAAACGCACGTCACACAGCACTGGACCTCACTTGATCCCTTCACCCCTAAGCTGACATTGCGGTGAAAGCAACACACTTGCCGGACCAATCAGTCACCTCCCTCTCATCACCTGACCTCATTCTCTGCGCGTCGGTATGCGCGAGAGAGCGTGATCACGTGGCAAAAGTGTGGCTGGCCCAAGAAGCGCGTAGCTTCCACCGCACTGTCAGCTTCGGGGTGAACGGGGTGGGGAAAGCAACTTTTGTCTGAATTTTGAGTGACGGGCTAATCTTCTGGGGGGACAACGACCGTGTTCGGGTACACAAACGAGAATCCGAGCAAGAGGGACTCCCCCCTTTCTGTCTTCTTGAACTGTTTAGTAGAATGCGCGATTTATGAGTTGGGGAGGAAAGCTAAACAGGAAAAAGTTGGAAAAGCGTTTCATGACTGCTTTAACTAATTTTTTAATTATTGGCTATAGGGGTCGTGTTGCAAATGCAGTGCTGACAGCGACTACCATTAGAGGTCAGAACAATTAAAAAATTGCGCACAAACAAAGTGCCGCACACCCTGCCCACAGTGACGCATAAAAGAGGGACGTCGTTTCGGTCATGTCGTCTCTTGTGTCATCGGCACACCGACCAAGGACACGTTGGCAAGATATTGGCGTCATTACTAAAACAACTATGTCACTCTTCCAAGTATCGCTGTGGGCAGGGCTCATGGCACTCTTTTTGCAAGCAATTTGTTAATTGGGTAAAAAAAACACGAAAATTCATTTATTCCTATTGCAAAAACAACTACATCTTCATAAACTCTTTTAATTGATCTGGCTTTTAAGAGTAATTGCCATCAATACTGCAATTGCAACATGACCCCCAAAATCACTAATTTAAAAGTTAAATAATGGATTTGAGTTAATGAGCAAACATATTGTGAGAATTATCCCCCGATGTAAACGTCCACCGAGTCTTATAAATATGTGGTGAAGATGGCACTCATATAACTCTCACCCCCTTTTTAAAAATAATATTTTTTAATTATAATCAAACACCCTGCATATTTATACAACATCCCCTGACTTGCTTTTTTTATTCTTGATTTATTTTAAAGCGCAGCTCTTAGGCAGCCATTTCCGGGTTGAGCGGCGTCGCCGTAACCGTGTGTTGCATAATGGGACGTTTCCCATAACGATGTCACACGTGACGTCGCGGGGGTCACAAGGGTGACGTCACACGAGCACACCCTCCCCTCCTCCTCCTCAACAGCTGCACTCTAATTCAGCATTACGGAGAACTGTAAACGTCTCATTTTTTTTGTTTATATACACAATAGCCCCGAATCTTTGAATTAAAATCAACGACCCTGTACATTTATACAATAGCCCCGGACCCGTTCCCTGTTTTATCAGTTCTACTGAAACTCTTGCACTCTGGAAGAGTTGCTATTGTTAAGTGAGAAGCTGTGCTGTGGAAAAGGGGCAACGCCAGGAGCTGCCAGTAATAGAAAGTTTGGGCAGTGAATAGATTTATTCACAACTGATACGGGTGACCTGCCGGCGTGACTCGTAACTATATTCGTTTTCTTGGAGTGGAACACCAAAACACGGATGTATTTCTAGCAAATACGCACTTCTCTACGCTCCATTTCACCTTACGACGGGCTGCAGTGGATGCTACGGGTCATCCCAACCAATCCTTCGCTGCGAATGTATCGCATCTTAAAAGTCACGTGACGCTCACATGACACGGGACTGGCACTGGTGACTCACGGCACCTTCTGCGGTCCGTCGTAAGGTGAAACAGGGTATAGCTTTCGCACGTCAGATTTTTCATGCAAGCTCGCAGAGTAGAATGTTACACAAAACAATCTTCTGTCGGTCCCACAACTTTGGTCATAAGGTCCTTATTCTTTTATCAGTCTTGCCTTTGACAAAGATGAGAATAAGCTTTCAACACCAGGCTGCCGCAAGCGCCACATATGTCGACAAAGTGCACTTCAATTTTCTGGGCTATGGAAGCACGAATTGTCCCCTGATTTTTGACCCAATTACCTTAGGTCGCACGGTGGACACCATGTGACACTTCACTTCGCAAAAAGACACAATCATCCTTCATTTTACCTCATGATGGACTACATGCAGCGCGTGCTACGAGCCGTCCCAGCCAAAACGCTGCGAACGCATCGCGCGACCACAAGTTCCATGTGCGTCTGCACCCCATCTGATGGTCAAATGACGCTCACGCAGCATTAGGTTGACCTAGATGGCTCGTAGCATCCTTTGCGATTAACTGTGCGGTAAAACGAAGTATACCAACCGTTGCTGGAAAAATTTATCGAGGCAACGGCACTTACTCGAGGAAATGTATGAGGTCATCCCTCAATTTCGAAACCAGTGTTTTCCTCCGTTCTTCGTCCAATGGCTCTCCAAACAGGAGCGGATTTAACGAGGAACACAGTGGGGGAAGGCCATGCTTCCACCTTCCCCTGCAGTCTTGAGGCTGCAGAGAAATAATGCCCCTTTTCATTCACCGGCATGCAAGGGGCACGAAACTTAAGGGGTATGGAAAAGAAATTTCAGCCCCTATTTTGATGTTTAAACGTTGACAATGTTGTGGCAACACCGCAAAGACATTGATGTTTTGTTCCAAAGGGCTCGGAATCTTTATTTAGAATGAATCAAACGATTACCAAATTGTACCTGGTGGATGTCCCCGAAGGTACTTGGAATGTCCTTACATCAATTGTCTCATAAAAGCTGCGCCGCTCCGCAAAATTACAACACCAAACTACACGCACGCGCTCCCTGCCAAAGTTGGCCGAATTGAATTTCCCTTCTCTACTGCGCCTCTTCAGGTGCTGCGGCTGAGCTTTAAGAAGAAAGACGAGGAGAGGGGGGCAGGGGGGGGGGGGGGGGGAGAAGCGAGAGGAGAAGGAAGTCGGTGCAATTTTCGAAGGCAGGTGAGTCAATCCGCCTCCGGTCCTCGGGCATCTCAAATGGCTCGGGTGTAACGCGCTGAAGCCGCCGAGTGGCGAAACTCATAAACACACCAGCCTCGCTGTGCATGGCATACCCGCTACAAGTAACCAAATTACTTCTATTCCATCACTCTTTAGAGCAATTTTGTAATGATTCAATTACTTTTATTACAAGGCAATCCCAAAAGCAATCTGATTACCACTGAAAGTAATAAAAATTACTTGTAACCATTGCTATTGTTGTCCCTCCCCTTTCTATAATGGTGCTCTTTGTTTCTACAAGTTTTCTGCTAAGGAATCCTCGAATCGTGTCTCTGACAGGAGGGCAGTCTAGCAAAACTGGTGGACTGAGAAGATTGGTAGCTTGCAATTCGGTGATTCTAATCCAATCACAGAGAGTACAAAAGGTCCGTTTTCAAACTGGCAGAAATATGTTGTTTTAAAAACCTGGAGTAATAAAAAAAGTAACGGTTGGTTTAGCACTTAACAGTCAATTACTTTTCGTCTCAAGTATCTGATTCATAACTCTTTAACCAAAAGTATTTGTAATCAATTACTTTTTATTTTTTTTAAGTACAGTGTACAAGACTGGTCCTCGCTTGTGCTGGAACCGATGACATGAATGAGCCGAGTTTTCCTTCCTAGACGCATTGCGCTACCGATATAGCTGACCATATTTAACTTATCCTTGAACATGAGAGGTAGGTTATTCAAAAAGTAAGGTAACGGGAGTTCTCACAATTGTCATATTTCTCCTCTTGTTAAAACTTCCCTTCAGGGCTGCAACCGAAGACCACAGCTTCATCAAGCAACCTTTAGATGGTGCATGTGTTGCGTCAGACCCTTGCAATATCAGTTCCAAGATGGCTGCGCTCACGGAAACTTGGCCAAATGTGAAAGTGCATGGTGCAACTAGGTTTTCGTGCCTAAAGGTTATCTCAATGGCAGAGATTCCTTGTGTATGGTGCTAATGTCGTGTCATGGAAACATGACAGACATAACAAAAACATTAAACACACAAAAAAAAAGACAACGCACACACACTCTATGAACAGCATGCGTGCATTGTTACGGTGCTTCTGGTGAAAGGTACTGGTGCATCCTCCCTTCAGCCCCGACTTGGCATCCAGTGATTTCCATCTCTTCAGTTTTCGAAGAACCCAGGTGGTATGCTATTCACAAATGATACGGAAGTTCAACAAACCGTCATGACGTGACCTCGGGGACACAGATTTCTTCTATGCCGGCATAGGTGCCTCAATGTATCGCTGGACCAAATGTTTAAACAACCATGGTGACTATATTGAAACGTAATGTGCACTATTGACGTACTACTGTGTATCATTACATCTGCCTCTTGTTACCTGACTTTTTTGTTAATCCTAATAGATTAAAATTTTTTTTCATACCTTTTGAATGCCTGGAAAAGAGTGATACACCAAAAGTACACCAACCACTCACTTTTTTGAAACAGCACAGAATACAGTAAACTTTCGTTAATTCTACCTCGATGGGACCTTGAAATTTGGTCAAATTATCCGAATGATTGAATTAAAAAAAAAGGACAAAAAAACGGTCAAAATTAAACTTCCTTCTCATGTCCAAAGTAGTCACGGATGGTCTGCTGCCGTCTGCACTTAGAGGGAAACTCCGCTTCATTCTCGGTTGTTAGCAAACACTGCGACTCTCTTTAGTATCATCTAGAGAGACCGAATGTCAAATATTATAACGTAATACCACCTAAAAGATCACTAAACCGGCCGACAAAAACTGAGATGCGCGAAGTCACCAAAATCCGCTAATTTAGCGGGCGACATGCGGCGCAGCCAACGTTGTGGCTGACGTCTGTTGCATACGCAGTTTTTTTCTTGGTATTTTCTTTTCCAGGGAGAGCTTACCAGGCGATGCTACGGACGCGCTCCTCGTCAGGCGAGACAGACAAAAAAAAAAAAAAATGAACGAGAACAAGAGAAACAAAAAGAGGGAGAGAGAGTTGTACGGGATGGAGTTTCGCTGACATACGTGGAAGGAGGTTAGAAGTACTAGGAGAGGGCACGTTGCAATATTGGTGAAGCCTAGTCATAAAAAGTTTAAACGATGTTGTGGCCAACGTGACCGTAGATCTCTCTGGCTATTGGTGTGCGTGACATGTCACGTGTGAGATGGATGGTTGATTGTAGAAGGACTCCTTGCAGGCTCGCGCACACTCCATCCGGTAGGTTTTATCAGATCGAAAGCTAGACTGCGGTGTATTCTAGTACCCCATGGACTCCATGCAAGGAGGATAGAAGGGTAGGAGAGGGCATGACGTCGCCCGCGTAGCCTCCACAAGCCACACTCCCTTGACGCCTCACCTTTTTCTCATTTTCCTCCTTACTCTCCTCACTTACCATGCCAACGTGACCCGATCACGTGACTGCAGCTAGCCTTCGTCTTGCAATGGGGTACTAGAATACACCACAGTCTAGCCTTCGATCTGATAAAACCTACCGGACGGAGCGCGCGCAAGCCTGCAAGGAGTCCTTCTACAATCAACCATCCATCTCACACGTGACATGTCACGCGCACCAATCGCAAGAGAGATCTGTTGTCACGCTGGGCACAAAATGGTTTAAACTTTTTATGACTAGGCTTCACCAATATTGCCACCTGCCCCCTCCTAGTACTTATAACCTCCTTGACCCCATGGCTAGACGAAGGCTAGCTGCGGTAACGTGACCTGGTCACGTTACCCTGGTAAGTGAGGAGAGTAAGGAGAAAAATGAGAAAGAGGCGAGGCGTCAAGGGAGCATGGCTCGTGGAGGCTATGCGGCTGGCGTCATACCCTCTCCTACCCTTCTATCCTCCTTGCATACGTGCCAACCGGTGCCAACAGACTAACCGCCTGAGTTGCCGCCTACATAGACTGCTTCGTCGCTGCTTGCGTTGCCGCGGCTAGGCCCGCCCTCCCTCCTCCCTCCTCGCCCTTCCCCTCGTATCCGCGTCTTTTCTGGGTTACCGCTGGTAGATCACGTGACCCATTGTATTCCACGGGGGTGCGTATGCAACTGACGTTGAGGGTACAATGTTGCCTGGCTGTGCCGAAGTTTTAGTTTTGGTTTGCGATTATGGTAAATAACAAATCGCACGAAAAATATTTTGCTTTTAATGAGACAAACGGTCTAGGGTTGCTTTGAAGTACTTTTCACGTTTATATCACCCACTATCTCAAAATTTCCGAAATCGAGCGGAGTTGCCCTTTAAAACGAGTGTCTAAAAGCATGCTCCGGAGAGCAGCGTAACAAAACGTCACGTCCCCGGAAAATTGTGCACCACAAAAAAGAAGAAAAAAAAAAGAAAGGTAAGTTTTAAGGGTTGACTTTGGCGCCGGGCAGCCAGACCGTCAACGACAAAGAAAAATAACAAAAAAAAGAAAAAGGGAAAAGAACTTGTGCTTTCCGACGGGCAAGATGGACCGCACACGATGCTACAGAAAAGCGCTTTGAGAGCGCGCGCTGTCTTTGCGCCCGACCGCATGCTACGTTCTCCGTGCTACTCCACGCCAGATTGGTTGCACTGGCTCGTGTCATTCGCTACGGTCCACCTCAACGGCGTAGAGGAGCTGGCGCATATTTACGCACGTTCCGCTTTGCGGCAAAGGGCCCGTGTTTCGCCGTACATTGGTGGTTTTTCTGCCGTGGTGCCGTGCAATGTGAGCCTGCGCGCATTCGCTTGGGGCAAATTATTCAATGTGGAGTCTTCCCGAGTTCAAACTATCGAACTTTTCCTCCGTAGGAATGTATGGGCGCTCGCTGGGACTTTTGAACGCGATCAAATTAAACGAAAAGTCAAATTAACCGAGGTCGAACTAATGAAAGTTTACTGTAGTTGGGTAAGGTAAAAACATTTTGTAAAAAAAAAAAAAAATTAGAAAGTGGTTATTTAATGAATAAGTTACATTACAAGCAAACATTATGTATAAAAGATTTACAGAATGCTTCATAGTGTTCAGTGAAGCCTCTGCAACGGGCACTTGCAGGCTTTTCTGCGCGCTTGAGCTAAGGAGGTGCCTAATTTTCAGGGCCTTTCACAGCACCCTGTAATGAAGCAACAACATCGCGCCACAAACTCTCCCTACGGTATGTGGGCTTACCGCAGGGAGGTTGATCTGCCGTGGAGCCGCAGGGACCGCGGGCACAACAGCCGACGACAAATCTTGGGAACTGGCCACTGCAAGGCTTCTGGGTGGCGGAGAGATTGGGCATTCCTCAAACTCTGCAATGTCAAGTGGGAAAAAGAAAAAAAACTATAATGTGAGAGGGTATTATTTGAACCCTATACAATTATTAGGCGAAGGGTGTTCAATCCACTGTTCCTAGGAGCATGACCAAATACCAATAATGATCCTCTATACAATAAAGAAAAAGAAGTCCTGATAAAAAAAAAAAAAAAGTAGGAAGATATTTACTGTAAATGACTTCATTTTTGTGGGCTCAATATTTTGCAAATTTAACGAAGTGTGGGTTTAGAGAGTATTTTGCGGGCCCAAAATTTTGTAATTTGGAGTGACGTGCTTTATATTGGATACCATGGGGTGATACTAGTATATCCAGGTAATCAAATTTTCAAAATATTTTTCGAGACGCGAAAATTATTAGTAGTAAGTCGTTTACAGTATGTAATGGAGCACACAACCAAAGAATTGCTTCACACCTGAGTGCACCCTCGGATGATAATTTTGGTAAAGATTGGGATGGTTTCTGTTAGGCAGTGTTTGGGAACATTTAACCAAAATTAGTTACAAATGCAGAAAAGAACAAGGTTTGACGGTTGTACCTGTTTTTATCTCCAACAGGGGCAGAAGACTGCATTCAGGACTGCTGCTTTCTTGTTCCCTGGAGCCTAAAGGAAGAGCATGAAGTCAGAGTATGTCTTGATAATGGTTAAAGAGTCTCGTGGCACAGATTTCAGGCCAAATGGCTGCTCCCACTAATAATAGATGTTTTGAGTTCTGGCATTTTTTCTCTGCCATCCATGGGCAAACCCTCATTACTGCTCACCCTTTCGAGTAACCAGTACCCAGATTCAATTAGATTTACTTCTCAGAACTTGGCATTCCCAAAGTATGCACGATCTACTGCCCAAAACCAAATTTGACGTTCGTGTTTAGACTGCATAAAGTCTGTCTGTCCTTGAGGTCTGGCAACACTGGCTTACGCTGTAGAGGTGAAATTTAGCCAGCGCAGTACAACCACTATCCTGGGATCTTTAAAGTGCGTCACGCAGTGGTGATGCACGACCACATATTGGGTATGACACTCATCCAGGTCGAAACGAGCAGGAGTGGATCTCTGGGTTCTGTAGCACGAGCTTTCACTCCACGTGCTCAAAGCTGCGATGCACTTGCACACTCGGCCACCGATCCCCCTAGGAACTGCCACCCCAGTGAAACAAGGGACATCCTTCCAGTCATAATAATGAGCTCTACATGCTTAGACGTCACTGATCTTGAGCTCTATCTATAGCAGTGTGTCAAACAAAAATGGTGCCAATTCACCGACTCTCCTGCCATTAGAAACTGAACAGCGATTCGGCAACTGGAGTACATTGCCTGAAAGCGACATGGTGCAGCTAACTTCCATGTAACTCACTTACGATTTGGGGGCAACGCATTTGCGAGCTTGTAACTTTATCTGCAATTAACTTACAAATTACATCTGAGCTCATGTGCAGCTTAAAGTTGTCAAAACTGGCACAAATAATGAAAGTCGCTTTTCGCCTCTGCGATGTGGGCTTTTCTATCCCGTAGTGCGAGTTTAAATAAGCTAACATCATTTGGAGCAAAATTTCACTAATTCAACTGGTAATCATAGGCTTGTGCCATTCACTGCTGGAAAGCTGCTGAAATACACTAACCTTACCAAACAGATAGATGCTGAAAAGCGTATGCTGACCCTGCCTCGAAAGAAATAGCGTGAAGCTCCTGGCCTGCATGCCAGACACAACTTTTTCTTCGTAGCTTACAGTCACGCCACATGGACAGAGCCATCTACTTAAGAAGTAATAAGAACATCTATGAAGCGTCAACAAAGCCAAGATTGCTAACTGATCTCACATACCTAAAACGTCCAAGGACGCCGTAGAAGCGATGGCCAGTTCTGGAAAGAAAGAGTAAGAACAAAGAATAGAGAAGTCGTTTCGAATTAAGCAGGTGCCGAATTCAGAAATACCAGGGGGGTGTACACACCCCCTAGGGGGTGTGTGGGCAATCACTGCCGCCGCGGGATGCCTGAGGGAATTTAACTGACCTTGTCCCCCTTGATCAGCTCCTTGACATGCCAATATCGGGAGCAGCTTTCAAAATCATATTATTAATTTTGTTGCGACCAAAAATCACGACGATTACAACTGGTGGCTGAAACATTTCACTCTACTAGCAAATTTTTGTTATCTTGCAAAATATATATTCCTCCAGCGCCGGGCTTTGTTGTTAGTACGGGATTCGTTGTTTTAAGATACATTTTTCCTTCTTCATCTTTGGCAGTGGAGCTTTCTCTGGGAGGCAGAAGTCGTGTTGGGAACGCAAGTTCAATACCCAAACAATGTATAGGAAGAGATGCAGGTGCGGCCTTAGCCGGATATGGTCAGGAGATAACGAGGCTTGGGAGGTGACGGGCTTGGGCAACAGGTAAGGGGGTGCGTGTGTGTGGTCTTTAAGAGCCCGTAATTTCAAAAGTGGAGGAGATAACACGAAAATCTTGAGACAGGATTTTCCGGATTGGGTTATTTCGTGCACTGTCCGTCACATCGACTTTCGGGATGAAAGCAGCACAAACACGCAATAAAACTATTAAAAAAAGAAAAACGGATGAAGTTTATTTTTGGCAGCTCGGGTATCATAAATATCAAGGAAGTTACCTGAGCACGCTGGTGGATACTCCGAGTTTTCCACAGCCCTCTCTGCAACGATACCATCCGGCACCCGTGAAAACGCTGGCGAACTGGCGACCCGCGCGAACGGGTCTCGAGTTACGAGGCAGACTCACCCAGCTCCCCGTGGGACGCCGGGCGGTGCCAGCAGTCCACGCAGGCACCGATCGGGATCTCGGGAGAGAGCTGAATCAGGCACACGGTCCGGTGGTACTGGGAGCACAGGCACTCCGAGCATCCGCCACGTAGCGTGCCGCTGAGATCCATTTTGGTCACCTCCATCGCTACCCTCCTATCCGGCGGCGGTATCCGCAACAGCGTTCCGTTCGCGCACTCGTCCGGAGGTGGCTCCTTAAACCCCAACCAAAAATGTTCTCAGCGTTGAACAGTTTGACAATCAACAACTTCTCATCGCTTATATCAGAAACATCTTGCTAAGACGGCTAACTGCTGTCCTAATTTGCGCATGCCTGCTTCTTCCTCTACTTTTTTCTATCCGTAACGAATCCACTGGACGTATCCCGTATCCCTCCGCAGGCGCAAAGCTGTCTCGCTGTCTCCCAGCGCTGTCAGTAGCGTTATTCATAACCAGATTTTACGCTTGGAGTATGGTAAAATAAGCGAAACGGCGAAACAACTTAAAAACAAGACGTAACAGGACGAGAACCGACGACAACTGAACAGGAGGGCACAGGTAGCACAGGCACACAGGGCGGTTTGTTTGCTTGTCGAGAAGATGGATAGGATGCGGTATATATAAGAAGAAAGAAACAAACAATGTGAGCCTTCCTTGTTTGTTAACTGTTAGAGAACACGCTTATTTATCTGAGAGGAAACTCTTTTACTGCCCACGTGAACCGAGAAGCTATCGACATCACGCAATACCAAATTTAAAAATGGCGGCGGACGAAGACATCGAGCTGCGCGATCTCCTTTTGGAAACGCTCGAGAAAAGGGGCGTTATAAACAAGATAAAAGTGAGTCGGTTGCCTGGAATTCCAGCGTTACAATTGGCGCCACAAGACGTGGCTTTGAAAACCTCGGAAAGAAAAAAGGCTGAGTCGGACGGGCGCTGCGAAAGGCGTCGTTTCAACTCTTGATGATAACTTGATGACACAAGCCATGTCGGGTTTGTGGAGCTAGGAATTCGGCAGAAAATTTATCGCTTTAGGCTACGGTATAATTGTGCCATAGGGTCTTGATCATTATTCGTCATTGAGTAAAACAAAGTCTAGTGGACCATAGCCTTCTGTGTACATAAACATAAAACATCGTTTTCTTCTAAACTCCATCGGCGATTGGAACCACGACCACGTGATTGGGACAAGATTCTCTGTTCAATACATGCGTTTGTTGTTTGTGCTTATAATTTTTTCCTTTGTAAACCTGTTCACCTGCATGCTGGCACCGTACACAAATAAATAAACTCGCAGGCCGAGCTGCGCGCGAACGTCTACCTGGCCCTGGAAGAGCAGGAGGGCGTCAAGGAGCGCTTGACGGACTCCAGCAAGGACATGTCGCTGCGGCTGTCTTCGGACCAGGGCCGGCTGGCAGCGTCCCTTGTCCGAGACTTCTTAGAGTCGCTGGGCCTCCGATTCACGCTCAGCGTCCTGAGCTCCGAGGCGCCTTTCGTGAGTGCACCGACTCTAGTAGCATGCATAGTTCTGGGAATGCTCTGATGTCACATGGGGGTCTTGTGGACGTCCTGAGGATGGCACCGCCTGGGAAAGATCCTCATCCTTGTACACGTCCTCCCGCGCTCTATGCGATGGTCAGTACACCCCACCGGCTTTTTCTGCTTACCATAAGTGCTTATGTACAATCAGCACGAAATGAAACCCGAACGCCGGAACGCGTGGCCGCTGATACAGGCTGCTCCACCTGGAGGGCCCCTGAGAACTAATGGAAATGCACCGGGGTTCGAGAGTGCGGGGCCTACTAAGATGAGCACGACCATCGCGCGGCGCGTCTGGGAGTTCCGCGCTTCGCCGGTGGCGCGCTGTATGCGCCGTCACATTCGATACAAAAAGCACTGTCACTCGCTTTGTGTATCGGATTCCCAGCAATATCTCTTCAGCGCTGTCATTCATTATCACTTTGCGTATCGCAAGGGCGAAATTAAAGTTAAAACATTTCGTGCACAGACGACCCGTAGTGCTCGATGACGTGTCACCGGAAACAACGTGCCACGCTCGGTTTCTGAGGAATAGTGAAACGTCATAAAGGCGAAATAAATTTCGTTTATTCACACACCCATATTCTTTATGAAAAAAAAAAATTCTGCAACATACCGACGCGGATGCCTCGGTTTTATGAGCAATGCGCATTTTTTCGTGCAAGGTTATCAGTCGATTTTTAAAAAAAAATCGAAAAATTGCTTGCTGAGGTTCTCTTTGGTAACCACCGATATGCCAGGCGTATAAATTCCGGAGTGAAATAAATTCATTACCCTGTCTGAGCAGGGCCTATCGCAAACAGCTATAGCTAGGTTAAGCGGCTGCCCGGTGTCGACCGGGTGACAGTGCGGCGACAGAAGGGCACCCCGAGTGACGGCGCTTACAGCACACCACCGACGAAACGCGAAAGTTTCAGACGCCCAGCGCGAGGGTTGAGAATATCTTAGTAGGACCCGCACCCTTGCACCCAGGTGCATTTTCATTAGTTCTCAGGGGCCCTCCAGGTGGAACAGCCTGTATCGATGGCCACGCATTCCGGCGTTCGGGTTTCATTCTGCGCTGATTGTACAATGTGTTACTGTGGCTGCCCTACTGCAGCACCCTGGTAAGGCAGACCCGGTAGGAAATTGTAGTCAGTGCCCTATAGAGGTGCCTCGAGGCATATAATAACAATAATAATATTTATTTGCATACAAAATATCTGATCCTGAGTGGCGTGCACGGCTGTGCAGAAAGGTTAAAACCCGTACGCGAGTGCGCCTGCCAGCCCGCCACCCAGGATTTGAAAGAAAAAAAAAAAAAAAATTTAGAATAGCTGTTGTGCAGATCCTCATCTTTTGTGACAGTCTCTCTGCACAACAACTGAGGTTTTTCTTAGTTCTTAGCAGGAGCATGTGCCAGGCCATAGACTCCTCACAGGCTTCACCGAGTTCCCTGAAATGTTGCACTAGTGTCCTTCATGCAGTGATGTGATTGCTGCGCCAATTGCGCCAAACTGCGCCAAGGGGCTAACCCTGCTACATCCTGCTACATTTCGCTGAAATATGGGTAATCTGCGCCAAGCCTGCGCCAAAGGACCAATTTCGGTCGCCTTTCAAAACCGAAACTAAACTGAGTACCGTTATTGAGCATGCGTGAGCTATACACCAACTCATGTTTACAAACAAACCGGAGCGCCCCTAGCGGACGCCACCGGCGCCGCGCATGCGCGGTGGATGGTGGGCAAGAAGCCCGCCGTCGCCCATAAACAAACCATTGAATTGCGTTGTTGTCGGCGTCGGTGGGAGTCCCCGTGCTCTTTTTCGCGTTGGAATTGTTGATGCTACGTCCTCCTAACAATGTCTGACTATTTGAGCGGCTTCAGCAAAACTAACGAGGCAAAACTTTGCGTGAATAATGTGACGTGCGCCGATTCATTTCACGTGGACGCCGCAGAATGGGCACTAAAGCCTGACTCCCACGATGAGATTCTGCTCGCTGTTTTCAGACACGACGTTGCTCGGACTGCAAAAGCGCGGACCGTAGCTGAGATGGTGGACGTCGATACTGAAAACCGCAAGTAGAATCGGGCATTACAAGTCGGTGATGGCCACTGGTAACAATAATGATAAACATCTTCTTGTATCTGTTTACACTAGCCTACTTACCCCAACCAACCTTCAAAAGTGTTTTGAGGCCTGCACTTAGTTCTTATCGCAATTACCGGGTCAACGTTTGGTTTCCGGGCCGCTGTCGTTTGGACGAGCTGACGACAAAAAGCAGCCAAGTTTGAAAGAGCAGACGACAGTTCGAACGCATGCGTAATGGGGTACGGGCAAGAAGCACCGCGTCCCGCGTCAACAAACCACTCGAATGTCACGTTGTCGGCGTATGTGTGAGTCTGCCTACTCTTTTTCGCGTTCGAATTGTCGATTCTACGTCCTCATCGCAATGTCTTACCACTTTAATCGCTTAAGCGAAATTATCAAGGCTCGTTACGCCGCTAAACTTTCCGTAAATAATTTGACGTGCGGCGATTCATTCGCATGAACGCCGCAGAATGGACGCCAAAACCATGATGAGATTCTTCCAGCTATTTTCGGTAGCGACGTCGCTCGTGTTGCAAAAGTGTAGAAGGTAGCGGCGATGATCGACGTCGATACTGAAAATCGGAAGCGGGAACAGACCAAGCGTAACAAGTCAGTGATGACCACCGGTACCAATGATCAACATCTTGTATCTACTTTTTACACCGAGCCTACTTAAGTCTTTTGAGGTCTGCAATTACTTCTTATTGCAATCACCGGGTCAAAGTTTGGTCTACGGGCCGCTTTTGTTTGAACGAGCAGACGACAAAAAGCAGACGTTTGAAAGAGCAGACGAAAGTTTGAACGTTCAGGCGGCCGTGTGAATTTGAAGACGCACTGAACCCGTGGGTGGTTCGGACAACTTGGCGGTTCTTTCTCGTTTATGTTGGAACAAAGCAAATACATCTGGCGACCACAAAGTGTTGCCCGCGCACGCAATTGTAGTTCGACAGCGTCTGGTTTTCCCTTTTCACGGCTACTATCCACGTTCTCGGACGAACGGAGGGGGCAAAAACACATGAAAACTGATCTTCAAACCTTTCCAGACTCTCTTGGTACAACCCCCGTCGCAGCATTTTGACGAGAAAGCAGGTTTTTTGTCTCGTTTCTTCCAAGGGAACACAGGAATGCATGTCTGGCACGGCGACTTCTGCCCACCGCCCCAGACCGGAAGTGCGTCCGGCGCGCCACCACCGCGGCGTGACGTAGGAGAGTTGAGTTGGTGTATAGGTGGCGCAAGCGACCGCTCGACAGAAAGTATGCTGCATTAATCGTCCATCTCGTCTCGCATGGTTTTTTCCGCCGTTCCTCATTTCGCACTTTCGTGGGTCTCGTCTCGCATCCTCTTGAAAATATTTTAACGATAGATGCAAGCGTATATGGACGATCCGACGCTAGCTTGCCGGGTACCAGCCATGCCGTCATGTTGTAAAACGAAACCACGTTTTTGCGCATTGGGAGTTACTTGTGATCTGAAGCGCTCGCTTCTGAAAGAAACTGCCGAGGCAAAACTATTTTTGGTCCCTGCCTACCAGTCACCGTGGTTATGACGTCGGGTGTTCCTGTCCAAATATAGCTGCAGATATGGCGCTTTCTAAAATGAAACGTGAGGACTGCTATAGGGTAATCAGCAATCCTATCCTTGTTTAAATTAAACGCTACTACAAAAAACCCTCTAGCTGAAAGACTGTTGTGTCGAAGTACTGTTTACCTAGGTTTCTCTCGGTCGGATTTCTTTTGAGAGGGACCCCGGTACGTGAAAAGTCTGTCGCAAAAGAAAGTTTAAGACAAGTTAGCTAAAGCAACAAAAGGCAATGCCTGCACGCTGAACTCGCACAGCGCGCTTGTTTATCTTGAGTTCAGTTGTTGCACAAAGCGCTCCAAGAACTTTTTGACCCTGACTCGCGATGCATTGATGCGCTCAGCTTCTTTTTTTTTATTAGCTTTATTGTCCTTGTTTTGTTTGCGCTTTTTAAACTTTTAATTTAGCTTGTGCCTCGCATACTGGCCTGGCAAGCACACGCCGCTGGATTGTTTTTTTTTATGCTGGATTGTTACATTTTGCATACAATTTTGGGGACCAGATGGCGACGAAGCGGAGTGGCAGAGTTTCGGTTTCGATCGAACAGCCGTCTCCGCACGCATAACGAAGCGCATGCAACTGCAAGCTGCCGAAGTTGCCCTCACGTGCATGCGAACATGATTGCACGACAGAGGTACCAGCCGGGACGCTTGCAATCCATTGCTTTACATTTGCTTGCTTCTGACGAAAATCTGGCATGTCGGGAACCAGTAAAACGGTGGGAGACGTTTTGGAATTGCTCGGCAACGCCTACAGCACTGCACTTGTGGGATGTCTCAATGTCTCTTTGGAGACATTGAAAGTGGACATTCATTACTTGTCGAAAGCTAAGCGAGGCTTGTAGCAGCCTTGCAGAAAGTTTCAACAAGCAAAAGGAAAAGCACCCACCAGTCGTACTGCACCTTTTTCATGTGTACAGTTTCGTATTGCATTGCAGCAGTTACGCGTTTCATCAGTTGGATACTGCTTCAATTTATAATATTATATAACTAGTGAAGTTTATGCTTTCATATTTACTGCTAAGCTGGTCATTTTCAAATAAATTTAATATGTGCAATTTGGCTCCTATTTATCTCTAGCGGGTACATATATATGTCATTTAACTGAAGCATTGCAAAATATATTGTGTCATTGGCATTTCCGTTAACAACTTGAAAGACTCCCAGGTCGTCTAACTTGTCCATAATTTGTTTATTGTGTCAAGCAAAGTGCCCTTCCTTTGTGCAGCACTTAAAACATTTTTTTTTTTTCATTTTTATAAAAAAAATCTGCTCCAAAAGCCACATTTTGCTGCTCCGAAACACTGTTTTGGGTGCTCCAAAAGCCACTTTTGCTGCTCCAAAACACTGTTTTGGCTGCTCCAAAGGCCACTTTTGCTGCACCAACACACTGATTTGGCTGCTCCAAAAGGTGCTCCAAAACGGCTTAGGCCAATCACATCACTGTTCATGGATTATATGAACTTTCGGTTCTGTATGAAAATGGCTTTCATTCCGACCTTTCAGCTAGTGCTAAGAAGAAAAAAAGGGGAATAGCTTGCGAGACTGCTTGTTTCCAGTGGCGTACTCGTGTACTGCATGCCCAGGACACTCGAACCAGTCATTTGGAAAATGGTCTGTACCTATTACCTTTGGCGTCGTCCATCGACGGGTCTATGTTGTGATATAGAGAAAAACAGTCTGCTCGACTTTGTATTTACTGGCCATTTCATGGTTACTGTAAACAAAGGTGGCGTTCAGGATGTGTCGCGGAGAAGGTGCTGCATTATTAGTAGACATGGCACGGAACTGGTAAGACAGGCACAAGCGCTGCCACCATAAACGCTGTTGCAACTGTGAATGTAGGGTGCCCACCGCCACAATGGCTTGTGACCTTTTGTGTGCGTGCACCGAAGCACCTCAAGTACGCTTCCAAGTTTGTGTTGCTCGGAAGTCAGATGGTCTGTTTCAGTTGTCATTTCAGTTTTTGTGTCAAAGCATGAGCTTACTTTTTTTAAGGTAGTCAAGTGTGCTGGTGTATGTGACTTCACTGTACCATGTTCAGATTATGTTACTTGGGCTATGTATCGGGTGAATTCACTGGTATTGACTTCGGTACTTGTAGGCACCTCTATTTTATAAATAAAATATCACATGGCCCCAATTTCCCAAAGAGCTGACGTCACGGGTGGCGACTAAATCTATGTTGGTTTTTGTGTAACATTTTTAAATCTTGCATGTTTTCTTTACACAGAGAGTGCCACACTTATGGGGAAAAGAAGGGTACAACGTTTTTGAGGACGACTCTTCCTCCCGGACAGACGCATAACTTGGAGCCTTTATAGGTCGGCGTACAAATAAATGGAAATCATTCCACCTGATATAGTGGTAGGCATTCTCTTACAATATCCTCGGTTCAAAATTTCGCAACGTGTATTTGTTAGGAAAGAAATGAAGCTGCATACGTCAGTAAATTGGATTGCAATAAGCAGCACACTGGATTAAAAACCGACAACTTCTATTTCTGATCGTGGAATAGGTAGGCAGCGTCCCAAAGCGACTGTTCCCCCAACCAGAGCAGAAAGAAGGACAAAAAAAAATGAACGCATCTCCACGTGATGAATGATGTCGATTGGGGCGAAGCTCTGGTGGTGCGTAGACACTGAGCCGCAGCATGCCGAGCTTTTCGTTCGTTTTCATCTATGTCAGAAAAAGAATGTGTGGTATGGAACATGGTGATATATGCATTTGAGCATTTGACTGCAGTGCCCTCTTGTCTATAAATGTTGAGCCAATGCATGCAAAGTTTAACGCGATTATATACGCATTTGACCGCAGTGCCCTGTCCTGTATAGACCTTGAGCGGCTACATGCATCGTTTCATCCGTGACAGAAAACCCAGCTCTTAGTTACTTCCACATCTCAGGGCCCCCTACTCGTTCCGCAGTCGTGGCCGAGTGGTTAAGGCGATGGACTAGAAATCCATTGGGGTCTCCCTGCACAGGTTCGAATCCTGTCGACTGTGCAAACATTTTTTCTTTTTTTAAGAAGACAGATGGGATGGCAATCGATGTGAGCACGGACGGCGTACAAGGCTTGATTTTAAGGAGCTTTGCCCCTAAAAGGGCATACCTGACACCGATAAGTGCAATGCCGGCTGTGGTGGTTTGGTGTTAGTTTGTTGTTGGTGGTTCTGCAATACTCGCCTATGAGATGGGTATGGCAAAGCGTCTCTTTCAAACACCCAGCCTCCAGCATGCGCTAGCTGCCTTCCGACGCACTTTGTCTGCACATGCGCAGTCGAAGCTAGTGAGACGCCGTTATTGAAGTTGGGAATCTTGCACCAGAGGCAAGGCAACTGAAAGACCTTTCTGCCGTTCTAATTTTTTTGGCGACTATGGTACCAGCAAACATAAGAGGGGCCCCGTTCACAAAGAGCCTGGCCAGGCCGACCGTGGCCTCACTTATCCTGGCTTGCTTCTAGGAACCCCTGGACAGGGCAGAGCTGTGCACTAGGCTGAACCTAGCAGACAGCGCTCCCGACCAGCCGGTGCTGATGCAGCTTGTCAGCCTCCCGGAGCGGTCCACCGTCGTCTCCAAGGCGGTCGAGGTTGGTCTTTTAAACGCACATTGTATGACGTCCTGTACCGGCTACAGATGGAGAAATTCTGAAATCGGTGGTAAATTCAATGGAGTGATTGGAAAGCTTGAGGAATTGCAGCGGTTCCTCGGTGTTTGGGGTAATGTGCAGGTAGAGGAATGTCCACACTACAGATACTGGCGACTTCCCATACCCCTGGTGGCGCAAGGCTCGGAAGGTACATTGCTTGACACTGTTATTGTGAGCGTGACACCTGTGCTTTTCTGCACTCTAGTGGGACGCGTAACGTTGGCTACTGCAATTCACCACTCTGCTTACTTACCTGAACGAGAATTTTCTGGCAGACTAATAGTTTGGATGGCCGCCATTCATTTTCAACAGAAAAAAGAGGGAAAACCGACAACTGCTCATTTGCACTTACAGTGTTGAGTAGGTCGCATTACCTGCTATTGAAGCGAGCATTCTTGGAGTCTACTGTTGCAGGGCCAGTGGTTCAACTAGCTGTGTTTTACTTGCGCAAGCTTCGGATAAAATTTGGTGCCTTTGCTTTACGAACTATCAACGATTGAATGTAGGCTTGCTCTTGCCCTTTGCACTCATGTTGCTATCATAAAAATATATTAAATGGGGAGGTCCGTGAAAATGCCCAAAAGAGAGAGAGGAAAAAGACTGGCTCTGGCGAGCCAGCCTGACTATAGTCACTGGCAGAGTGAGAACAGCGGGGTGTGTCCTTCAAACGCCCGGCCTCCAGCACGTGCTTCATGATGGCGATGATGAGAATGATGCCTTCCGCCACGCTTTAGTTGCGCTCGAGGTACACAAGACGCCGAAGCATTGTCAAAGGCAGGAAGGTCGCACTAGAGGCGAGACAACCGAGGCCCCTCCTTGCCACTCTTACCTTATCAGTGACTATAGTCTCGTGCGTGTTTTCCCGAGATAACATCAGAGGTACCTTTTTGTGTGTTAGATGGAGCTTGTCTGTTAAAACTAAAAATGCCGGCTAGGTGGTGCAAGATGCCACCCGAATATTTAAAAGGGCTCGGCCATATGCGTCTATCTAGAGGCACGGGACGAGCCACGCTTCCGAGTATCGGCACTTCAACCATCTTGCTGCTTAAAGTCATGTTTGTCAGTTATCTGAAGGTTTATCCGAAGTCGTAGGAAACAGTCTTCCGTCCTTCAGAAATGTTAAAACAGTCCGCGACAGAGCGAAGCGCTACCGCGTGCGCTCGCTGACGTCGCATCTAAAGCTCGGGACGCCGCATCTAAAGCTCGGGACGCCGCGTTTTCGAATCATAATAGTCACCATTCGCGCTCGCTCTGCACTAAGTGCCGAAATGGCGGCACCCACCAGAAAGTCGGAGAGTGGAGTGCCGATACTGTAGCTTATTTAGAGGCCGTACATCCGTACATCTCCTTCTGCCGCAGAGCCCCGCAAGAGCGGAAGCCGGTGACGGCATCGCGGGTCCCGTCGGGGACACCACCTATGTGGCGGGCGTTGCGCCGAATTTGGACGTGGGACTTGGTTCCAGCCGGGACCAGGAAAGCTCGCTGCGGGCTGGGGACAGGTAGGTTCCACGCCAGCTTGCTAACTCAATGCGCACGAGGCGCTTTGTTTTATCGAAGAATTTTATCGGTGCATTAGTCGCCGCCGCTCCGTATAAAATTTACTGTTGGTACCACTTCCAAACGTACGACGCGGTTCCTTGCAGGGTTGGGCAGAAATACCCTAAAGTGTTTTTAGAAATACAAATGCTGGGATATATATCAAAGACATCTAAAATACTGATACCGAAATATATTTATAAAAAGGTATGGCAATACGTGTTAACAATACATCTGCTACGTATAAAAAAGTATTTAAAAATACAAATACAGGAATACATTTTGCAGAAATACAGGCAATAAAATACAGTTTGCCAGAGAGTTATTAGATATGTCCATATACTCCCTAGGACCGGCTGGGTGACGCCGCTAATGCATACGAGAAACCAGAAATAAATATGATGTACATTAATTGAGCAATACTTGTTAATCAACAAATGATTACTCGCTGTAGGATATAAAACATTCACATTTTTGCGCCCAACATAAATACAGAACTCGTTGAAATTTGTAACGAGATATATCCGTTGCTGATGGTGTCGCGATGCCAGGAATAGACTTGAAAAGGTATGACCATTCAGAAACACAAAGTACAGTTGTAAAATTGTGTCACAATACAGAAATATAAATACAAAATGTATTTCCTAAATACTATCGCGATACTGCCCAACTCTGGTTCCTTGTGACTTTTACAAGAGGGAAAGGGCGGTGGGTCGTTTCTTCCTAAAAGGTTGTTAAATTTTCTAGACGCATTTACCGCTAAATGTTGAGTATGTGCGCGGGTCACAATAAGCACCCGTTGGTTACTTTCGAAATGTTTGGTAACTCAGCAAAGGAAGCATCAAGTGCTCACAGCAGACCTCTGAGCCCATCTAGCTGACCAAGGTGCTCCCCCTTGTCAGCCGCTTCTCCAAGCACCCCCGTGCAAGGTGACGAGGGCCACCCTACCAGTGCCCTTTCAGCAGTTCTGTTCTTGTACCTAAACAAATGCCCATCTCTCAATTTTTCAGAACCATCCTAATTTTGGATAGGAACTTGGTCCGTATTTTGCGGTATATTGTTAGCCAGCATCGAGTAGGTGCTGGCAATGGTCACCGATTGGTATTGCAACGGCAGCTTTCTGCCTTGGACGACACTCAAGCATCTCTCTAGCTTCGATCGTGCATGCACAGCCAAAGAATGACGGCAAGCAGCGAGCGCGTGCCGGAGGATGGGTGTTGGAAAGGCGCGTCCTGCCGTTATCACGCTCTCGGTGATTGCGAGCATGGCGGCAAAGTGCAGCTTACGGCGTTCCCCCCCTGTTCTCTGCAGGCTGCTGGACCTTCCCGAGGTTCCCCGGGGCACCAAGGGTTCCTCCCTGCCCTCGCTGCTCCCTCCTCTGGGCACCAAGCGGCCCCCGCCGCCTGAGCAGCCGCTGCCGCAAGGTGGGTGGCCCTGTCCGCACCCTGGGCACGATTGTGCGTGGGAGTGTAGCCACGGGGAGCTCGGAATGAACCGGGCGGATAGATGAATGGATGTGGCTGAAACCTTCTCGTCGGGCGGCGACTTGCGCCACCGAGCCAAAGCTTTTAATTTTAACAATTTACTAATCTCTGATTAAAAAAAAGATGGTCGGGTTAGGTCGTTTCACGGTATATTTCTAATATTGAAATGAATGGAGCATGGTAAAAGTCCTATATCACTTCTAAGCACGAGCATTCATTTAACATTCTCCACAACCGAAAGTTACTATCGGTGTGATGGTGGTGCCTCTTCACGTCCTGGGACTTGCACTTTCCGCCCTACAGAATTAAAGCAAAATGATTAGTAAACTTTATTCTTTTCTCGACTTATGTTACCAGTCGATAACCTGTCATGGCGATCTCTGCTTTTCCAATGTTTATTTTGCCGCCAGCGCCTTTACAGCCTAAAGCCTTAACAAAATCAGTTTCCCTTTCTGCAACTGCAGGGTGAAGCCCTTTGTAACAAAGTATCAAGTGTTCGGCCATCTCTTTTTCCTCCCCACAGGCTCCAAACACTGTGTCTACGCCCTCATATTTTGGTCTTTACGCTCTAGTTCACAAAATGTTCTCCTGGACCCAAACAACAGTGAACTTCCCCTAGAATTTCCCTTTCATCTTTATAAAATTCAGTGGCATCTAGTGGCTGAAACATTAGTCCATCTTTTGACAGGTAATGGCAGTAGAGACATATATGTAGTACCATACTTACTTGATTCTAGCGCGGCCATGTTCGTAATACAATCGGCAACTTTGCTTATTGTCCCGTGGGAAAAAATAAAGCCACAAACGTAATGCAATGTTAACTGAGGAGTAAAGGCCTGTCCAAACAGTAATCGTGAGGCGACACGGCTCCGGCAAAATTCGTAAAAGTTGAAGCATCCGGCAGTTCGATGCCTGTTTGAACACCACCAAACCAAAATCACGATTTTCCTCCTCGCTTCCTCTGCTTTTCGGTGCTCGTCAGACTTGACGTCGCACGTCACCTGCCAATGCTGTTCATCTGTTCTACCGGGCCCTTGTATCCTCTGACGTGTTCCAAAATTGACTCTATCTTACTCCAGGGTAAGGGTTCTGTACCTTTGCGTTCGAAAGCCTACCCGTGTCCAACGTTGCTCTATCTGTGTTTTCACGTGACACGACCCGCCGGAGTAGCTCGGATCTATTTAGGTAACATTTCAAACACAGCCTCCCCTTTTTCGTTTTCTGGACCCGAAGAGAAGCGAAGGCCTTGGGCGGATTGACCGACAGCCAACAGAACTTGTAAGTGACTGTCTGGATTCACATGATGAGCATGCCCAAGGCCCCCGTAGAGGACACAGGCAAAATTCAACAAAGGGATATTTCACCGGACCGCGGTACGACCTATGTCGGAGTCGTTTCGCCTCAAGATTCCTGTTTGGACAGGCCTTGACACAGTACTTTTAGGGTTCTCTATTCGGTTTGGTTAGAATGCCCAACGGGAACGAAGGCCGTAAGTTCCAAAACAAAACTACATGCTAGAAGCCAGAGCATTAAAACTCGGAAACCATTGAGCAGGTTGAGTTACTTTAAAGCCACTTATAGAGGTTAGCACCGAGAGAATTGCACAATCAGCCATTCTTTGTTAATTTAGATCTGGATTTTATGGTTCTCATTTCAAGTATTGAGAGGTACACGTGGCCAGCACAAGACTGAAGAACCGCAGGAGCCCAGAAGGTCAGAGTCAGGGCCGTAACCAGGGGGGGGGGTTAGGGGGTTCTGACCCCCCCCGAAATTTTTTTCTGGGTACGGCCCTGGTCGGTGCACTGGCAGCCAGCCGATTTTAATCTCCACCTCTGCGCACGCGCAGTGGCGCCGGTCGGCTTCCGGGTACCAAACCGGGACCGGCTCTCCGGTTTGCTGTAACTCTCCATTATATGCCACCGATGCACATGATTCATAGGCGAAATAAGACAATAGACACTTTCAAAATGGCCGCCGTTGTCCCCGAAAACCCCCCCCGAAATGTTTTTCTGGGTACGGCCCTGGTCAGAGTTATTAAGAAAGGACGGCACTGACGACAATTATTTTATGGTCGTTTGATAATGACACAAGGGCCAACTCTAGAACATAAAACTTGCGGAAAATATTTGCATTATGTTTGAGTAAATACGCTATTTTGTTGGGTACCGTGAATTTCCTGCGTCTGTGGTAGATAGGAATGTGTTCTTTGCTGTACAGTCCTTTCTCAATCCGTTTCGGCTTCCATGGTGAAAAGAAAACCACTGGTCTGTACGGAGCACTGACCTGAGTGAAGACTGAGATAAAATTCACCACATCCAGGGGCCCGTGGGCTAAGTGTGTGCCAGCTGTTTATTCGGACACGAATTTGAAATGCACGTCGATGCAGCACTTGTATCCAATTAGTGTTGCCTTCTTCAGAGCGTGTCTTCAACTTCTTTCTTCGTCAGTCACTGGGAGAATGCCATTAGCATGCCACAGATGCCACACACTTAGTGATAGTGATTGAAGTTACCAAAGTAAATTTCAGAAAGGATCTGTTTTATTGTCTGTGCATTGTCGAGGAATTGAGCGCCGGAATGGAGCCAGAGTTTGGGAGGTTTCTTCGGCATGTGCCTGCGATAATCTTCCTCATTCTTTTTATAGTTGCAAAGTGTCTTAGCCATTTACAGGATTAATTATCGCCTATTAGAATAAAATATTATGAAATCACTCGTTGATAATAAGGGGAGTCGTAATTGCTTGCCATGTGGGACACCAATCCATGCGGAGTTACAAATGAAGGTTGCTACGGACGTGCCGTATTTGACGATGCAAAAGCCAGAAAGGCTCGTAAAACTGGCTCAACGGATAGACTACAAAGTTATGAACAAAACCTTACGACAGGATGTGACTCATCTTTCAGGCAACTTCTGGGCATTAATTTGGTTGTTCTTTCTTTGTGCTCTTTCTCTGCCTAATTTCGGGCACATTTGCTTCCAGGACAAACAGAGGATGAAGGACATCCGTCGCTACAAAGGTGACACTCTTTGTTTTGCCATACATACTTTCAATGTGAGCAACGCTGCGTATGTACACAGGGTGCGGATGAGGTTGAGCATGCATAGAAAGTTGCATTCCTGCTCAGCTTCAGGTCGTAGTTGCATCGGAGGCACGTAGCAGGGAACCTTGCCCATTGCTATGCGACAATCACTCCTAAGCTTAGAAATAATGGAGGGAAAGAAATGCTGCTGCATTGGCGTGCACCAAATATCTTGTGTCGTATGTTAACTACTTTCTACAGACATACGTGCGGCTCCGACGTCGAGTCGCTGCTGTTGGCACAGGACACATGCAGACGCTTCCACTTGCACTAACCTGGTCTCTGGACATGCACAGTGTCTGCACCCGGTGTGGGCAGACGGGAGCTTGCTTGTGAACAGTGTATTGTCAGGTGGTTGAGGCTTATACAGGGCATTTTTTGTTCTCTAAAATCAGTCTAGAAATTAAAAAAAAGCGAACTTGCATTAGGTTTCTTTTAGCCCTGGGGTCAAGTTGGTGGCCATGGTGGTCACTAGGAACGAGGTGAGGTGAGTTAATTAGTCGGCTAATTAACTGCAAAACTTTCATTAACATTTTTTTTTTGTTCTGATTTTTTTGGGGCATAACATATATATTTCAAGAATCGACACTCGACCTCTACTTGATCTAGTTGTGCCGCACCGTTTTAATTAAAGATGCTACGTACGAGCCAGCGGTACGAGCCATGTTCCCCGATCGACGGAGAGCAACCCGACACCCCCGATTACACAAGCGGGGCGATGTTTCCCTCTCCCGTCTCTCTCCTGGCTGAAACATAAGCAGCGGCGCATCACCGCTGCTTCCCGGCACGCAGAAGTCACTCTGTGCTGGTTTTGACTAGACGCTTTTCTTTCGCTATAATAAACACAGGTAACCGCAACTTGACACAGCCACCGTCACTCATAAAGTAGCCACATCAAAAGAATTTGTAATGGACACTATGGGGAGAAAAATGTCATCCTTATAGGCAACTTCAAACCCAAAGTAAGCGGGCAAAGAGCAGCGTATTGCAGCAAGTTTCGCTTGCCGCCCAAGATTTGGTTTGAAGCCATTGTGGCAATGGATGTGAAAACTTGTCGTACGGTGTTTGTGTATGACACTGCACTTTAGGGCGTTGGCAGGCAAGACAGGAGTGTACCCAATCATCGGCGTCGGCCTGAACCGTTGGTCAAAGAGAATGGATCGTGATGAGCTCTTACATTGTTTTTATAGCGGGGTGGACGACCATCGTGACATCAGCGAAATCTTTCTTCCGGAAGAATAAAAAATGTCACTATATACGAGGGTGACATTTCCTGCCACGTAGCAACCACTATGAATGTTTTTATCAAAATATTGCGGTATGCCTAGACCCTGTTGAGATCGAGCACCAACCCTCCAAGCACACTATGCCCTCAAAAATGAAACTTCAAAAAGGTAATAAAATCTTTTTAGTTAACGAGCCGACTAATAACCTCTTTTATTTATTTAATTGTGGCCACCGTGTCCACCTACTTGGCCCGAGAGCCATAAAAATATTTACCGATAGTTACTTTTTTCCTTTTTTTAATCCCGGACCAACTAAAGACAGGCACCCTGTATCGCGAAGCAAAGTTTCGGTACGCTCGTAACACTGGTACCGGCATTTGGGAGAATGATATGGGAAGGCTTTTTTTTGAAACAACTAACTTTATTATGCTATAGGGAAGTCATACCGTATGGGTGCGTGCGGGGCCAATATTTTCGTCGTCGTTTGGGTCAGACTCCATACGAAGCTAACTTTTCGGCCTCCGTGCGCAGTGCCGGTTCGGGATCTCGGTCGGAGCACCGGGACGAGGGCAGCGTCTCGGAGGACAGTGTGGAGGAGGAGGTGGAAGAAGGGTCGTCCAACGCAGACGACCTGCTCAACAGCAGCCTGTCTCTGGTCAGTGGTGCCAACGCCCCCTCCAGGTCGGGCACCTGTCGGGTGGGCACCTCCCATGCTCCAAGACATTTGGCGTGCCTGCTTTCCCGCAAGGCGCTTGGGAGAGTCAATCATTCTTGGGAGATTGGGAGAGCCGATCTATAGGGCTCCCTCACCTGACGTTGCATCTGGTCATGCCACTATCATATTTATTCGAAAATGGGTCAACCTTTTTATGAACAATGCCTGCGTGCATATTTCTCCGCAATGCTCGAGATGAGCCAGTCGTCGAGTTTTGCGTAAGATGCCCGGCAAACGACGGGGCACCGATGAGCCGGAACACAAAAATCAGATCTACGTGGGTCACATTTTTTTTATTGCAAACGTTATCTCTGCTTCGTTGTTCCCCAGCTCCTTTCGTAAGTCTTAACGATCGGTCTCGTAGGTTCTGCAGGAAACTAGACGCCCAAGTCGGTTCATAGAAAGGTAAACCTATTTTGAAGAAAATCGCGGTAAGCAGCGTGTTGGAAAAATTCGAAATCCAATGCCAATAAGCAGTCTGTGGTGATGATGGCGACACCTTCCGCTGTTTTCCCTATTCGCATGTATGTAAGCATTTCTTCGTTGGCGTCGTCTTCAGTGTCAATACGTATCATCTCAAAAATAAGCAGACGGCCCAACTGATGACAAGACTCGATAAGTTTGGTTGGGGACGTGTTTTTTTCCCTCTTCAAATCTGCCCAGCAACGTGTGCCGGGACCATTTTGGACCCGGCACACGTCGTCCACATTTTGGTCCCGACCTCTCGAGCCAGTCAACACTCATTTATATCTCCGACAACTCAATTTAATAAAGTCGATCGCGACACAAGATAGCTCAAGCAATCTTTCAAACACATCCCTGGCAGGTAAAAGGATACAGGGCGAAAGCAGACGAATGTCACTGGCGGGGATTTTCAGCAAAATTTCGAGCCAGAATCAGCATTTCGTCGTGGTCTCGTGCAAGCGCCCTATGGAGGGGGCTTGGCGGCAGGGGGGCTAAAATAAGTTTAGATCTAGAAAAAGATTGTCTGCACCGCGACACCGAATGCGACATTTCACACATTTACGTCATGCTGGGTGCAGACATCTTTTTCTAGGTCTGAACCTATGTTCAGGCTCGTTGTTCGCCGAGCACCCTCCCTAGATCGTGGCAGTTGGCTTTCCCGAGGGCTATGCGTGAGAGCAGGTCCATCGGATCTTTTAGAGCGTGGCCACAAGGCCACAGTGCTTGATTCCCAATCTCACGTGCCTGTGGTTGGCGCTCAGCACAGATTGGAAACGTGTGCTGCGCGATTGTTTGGCTGGCACCTGTGTGCTTGCCGTTTGAATATGTGTCACAGCCTGGACGTCGACGCAGCACTCGCTCCCAGTGTGTGCCCTGGGACATGTGACATAGGAAATCCGGCACCACGGTCCAGTTATATAGAAGGTGTTGTCAGTCAAGCCATGAGCCAACTGACATCTGCCGCTGTGGAGAGAGAAGAGAGGAAGGGCATGATCAGATGGGCATCTAAGCTACATATAGGAGGGAGTAATGCGAGTTGGTATAGACTGAACATAGTTACATTTACGCTTGTCAGTTGTCTACGTGTTCCTCTTCTCTGTCCCTGTCCTTTTGTGCGCAACTATAACCATGTTCAATATATAGGAAGTGTCAGCAGCGTGCACACTCTGGAAACATAGTACAGACAGGTGGAGGAGGGCATCGGTTCTGACAGCATGCTGCAGACATTTTTCTCGTGGCTGAACTCGGGAACTACCTACTGCATTCTCCTGCCTGCCGTTCGCATTGCCAGGGAAGCGATGAAACTTGAGCGCGGGAAAACCACACTTAAACTCGGCATCAACTATTTTGCGCTATATTGTCGAGTCTCGTGTAGCTTCCGCAGTGCTGCAACGCCGTCAAAGCTACTTGCATGAGCACGTGCGAACGAGACGGAAGCCAAAGCCACGTGCTCTTGCGGAAGTGTGGGGCTGCAGCACTGTGGAAGCTGCGCTAGGCTCGAAGGAGTAGCGCAAAATAACGGACGCCGAGTATAGGGTGACTTGGTTATAAAAGAAACGGCAATGAGTCAAGCGGATTGTTAGAGGCTTTTCTCCGATTCCATTCTGGTCAATTTTCATTTTCCTTCCCCTTGCCACACCCAAAAGTCAACTTTGCACCACACTGTGCCAAAGGGAGCTTGTTGAACCGTAAGCAGATCATTTTATGGCAGAATTGATGTTCTGGACTGGCAACCCGGCTGAGCGGTTATTCTGGTGACAACCTCTACTCTAGGCCGTAGGTTCTGGCCTAACAAAGTACAGTTCAGAGGCCTTCTGTTGCATACCCTAAATGTTTCTTGGTAGCACTGAACCAGCACAAGCCATTCCTTCTTCACAGATGCACATGGTTAAAAGGTAGACACGGCTAAGTCAGAAAGTGATACTTGTGCGTGGTTCTCATAGAGGAGTTTTTATTTTCTTGCACAATTCTGCAAACATTTGATCCTTCTAGTCATCATTAAAGTGTCCAGTTGTTGTCTTGATTAAAGTTAATATTGCACATTTACAAAATTGCTACTGTTTAGGATTGTCAAAGAAAGATTATGATAAAGGAGTTGTGTGTAATTTACCGTAGCAGTGTCACTCACAACTATATTATTTAATTAGTTGAGAGCTGAAAATACCATGGTGGCCACAATTGTTGACTTTGTATGCAGCTAATGCAGCCTGGCTCGCAGGCTTTCTATTCTTAGTTCTAGTTCTGCAATAGTTCTATTGCAGATAAAAATGGTTCTTGCAAAGCATGTTGTTTTCTCTCAAGAAAATAGTTCCTCTTTTGCGTCTCGAGAAATTTGAGGATAGTACAAACTGTACCCTAAATCAGCACTAGATGCCTGTTTCTCATTAATAAATAGGGAGTCGCGTTTTTTTACTTTATTAACAAGATACGTGACACTGTAGCAAAACAATATTGATTGGGTAGTCTTCAGACACCATAAAAAATTGCCTGGCAAAAAATAAAAAATAAATTTTGGGGGGTGTTAGTGTCCCTTTAAGTCCAATGAGGGGAAACCTGCAGGAAATTCTATGCTTTCACTTGATCTCATGGCAGTAGTCTGATGAGTGAATGATGAGCTTTTCACACACAGTCTCACCTTACACGATTCTATGACTACAGTCAGTGACAACTCAAGAAGGTAGGGCGAGGGAAAGGGCAACATTTGCAGAATCATCTCGACCGAATAATTCTAATGTTGCAGGGAGACGACAGGACTGTGGACCAGTCCATCTCCAAGTCCAGCGAGGTGGAGGGCTGCGACTACGTGGAGAAATTCCACTAAAGCGCCGCGGTGACCCGACACCGCCAGGAAGTGCCGTGGAACACGTGGCGACCTGCGTGTTGCACATCTTTTATGCACAAACGTTCGGGCACGTTTACTCAGGGAGCTTGTCACCGTGGGCTCTTCACAACGTGCACGACCAAAGTGAAGGCACCGCGTACGAGTCAACAGTTTTAGAAGGTAGCGAGCATAGAGCTTGCAAATAGGCTTTTGAAGCAACCCACACATCGAGTTCAGATTTCGAGGTTGTGGGTCCGGTCCTTTGACGTGTCCAATGTATAGACTCTTCTGGCCACGCCTGAGGAGAACCTTCCCCAGGCCACGGTGCAAGATATATATATTGCATTATCCCGAGAGAGAGCCCACCTAAAATTGAAAGCAAATCGGGTGAAACTAAGGAGTGGGTTAGCTTTCCAACTTTCTGTGTGCAGTAGAAAAGAAAGCCGAAAAGATGCTAGTTTTAGATTTTGTGACCTGCGAAACTTGCGAGTGCAGAGAGGGGCAATGAACTAAATACGATTGTCCCTCCCAGTTGGCGATGTTTGCTCTCTCCCGTCGTGGCCAAGTAACATCATATCTGCCGAGGTCACCGTTGGCTGGGTCCCTGCAATTACTGAAAGTGGGCTATCTGACGGTGTTTTTTAAAATAGCAAATCATGCAAAAAATAGGGGGCAGGTTATCTTTAGGAGGTTGTGCGTTTCCCGGGGTATGGCGGTAGGTGTGGACACCGTGCGTGTCGCAGCTGCCAGACAAGGTCTTTTTCTCGCCTTCGTTGCGAGCGGCGCCACCAGATGGCTCTTCGGTATGTGGCTAGTGGCAGTCTGTCACAAACCCGGTTTCCCATGCTTCTCTGTGGGCGGCATTCTTGTTTTTAGCATTGTTTTCCTGGTGTTCCACGTCATGTAGAACTTGGTACAGCAATGCGTCGTTATTATGGACACCTCCGTTCCTCCAGAAAATTGTCCACAAGAACGAGACAAAAATGCACACATTTTCCCGGTTTGTCCACGAAAATGGTGTCTGTATAGTAGCGTATCCATACTAAGGGCCCGTTCACACGATGCATTTTTCTCGCGCATCTAGTGTCGCGAAACTTAGTTTCGCGAAATGGTTGCGTCGTCTGAACGAGTCCGAAAAGGATGCGCGCATCTAAAAAAGGTTGCGTGCACACCTCGCTTTTGGAGCGAGCTTTTGCTGAAACTTTGCCGAGTCCTGTCAATCACTCTGAGGGCGCCGCCAATGGCCGCTCAGAAACGCTCTCACGTGGCCTTTGAGGGAGGAGCGAGCTGTTTGAGAAGACCACTGCACTGCCGGTGTTGTAGCCGAGCCAAATCCGAAACCGAAACCACGAACGATGGAGACCGCCGGCGCTTCCGCAAGCACGTCCAGCACCACTGAAGGAAAAGTGAGTAGCATATCGGAAAAAAAATCCAGCGATGGACGAAGATGTAATTGGTGATGATGATAATTCGCGTCTATTTTTAGTCATAATTAAGAAATAAAATCTTGAGACAAGGAAACAAAAAGGGACGTACACAGTACCGTCTCAAAACCAGCACAGCGTGCAGCTCTCATTTACTTCCGCAACAGTTTTCTTCTTTGTCAACCTCCATCCAAATTATACATATTCAACAGTAAATAAAGTAAATGGCAGTAAATGACGATTCAACAACTAGTAAATGACAATTTAAGAGTAAATTAAGTAAATGACAGCTATATGCTGTGCTGGTTTTCAGACAGTGGTGCGTATGTCCCTTTTTGTTTCCTTGTCTTAAGGTTTTATTTCTTAATTATGATTGTTCACCAGCTCGCCTGCGTTTTGACTCTTAGAATGTGGCGCGAGATGGAGAACACGACGCTGAATGGCTAATGGTGATGATGATGATGATGTTGGCTTTCAACTGAAGCGCCACTTTATGGTCAACACCCAAACTATTTTCGTGAGTCTAAACGTCATCGTTGTTGCACGTGAAGCGGTACGTGTGAACGAGCACATTTCGCGAAACTTGAGTGTCGCGAAACCGTTGCGCGCCTAAAAGATGCATCGTGTGAACAGACCTTAACTGCGTCCGCATTAACGAGACGTGATTGTGCAGTGCAGTCCACTTAAAACAATATTGAGAAAACCCAGATTAAATCATTATAACTGATTATCGTTCTATCTGGACTAGAAACTGATCGTTATAAGCAGTACATCGTTATATCTGGTATTGCTATAAGTGGATTGCACTATGCCTGTTCTTAGAGACCACTTCGTCACCGTCCCTCATTTCGTCCCTCAACGGCAGCAATAAGTTTTACGAACACGCCAAAGCGGAGAGATCTCTGGCGCAGTGCTCAAGCCAGCGTCCTTCGAGATAAGAACCAAAACGGAAACTGTCATAAGCACGAGATTTACTTTTTTTTTTTTTTTTTTTTCAGTCTCGTTGTCTGGATTGCAGAGACACTGTCAGCCGCGACTACTCTGGCGGGCACCAATGGACTTCATTTGGTCTATTGCATGCAGTGTTCATCGTGTTGTGCATCCTCACCTGTATACCGTATTTATTCGAATATAAGCCGGTCACAATTATAAAGAGAGGGGGCAGTTGAAGGACCCAAGAAAAAGAAAAAAAATCGCCATATTGCTATACTGAGCTTCGAATATAAGGCGGGGTATGACTTTGAGACTACGGATTTTGGAAAAAAAACCTTGCCTTATATTCGAATAAATGCGGTACATGGTTCGCATTGACGTCGCATCAGCTGCCATTGCTCTGTACCATGCCTCTGCCCTTACCTCTGCAGCATACATTTGGCACAATTGAATTTGTTGTTCTTGGCAATGCTTGCCGAGAACGAATCCGGTGGTACGAAATGTATGCTGCAGAAGGTACGAGCACAAGAGCATCGTACGGAGAAATGGCATCTGGTATGGTGCCATATGACATCACGTGCAAGGTGTGTATACGTTACACCATGCCGTGCTTTCGCTGCACGTGCACCTTCAAAGCTTGCGCGTCGCTCAAGCGTTTGTGTAGGCAAGGCAGAAAGTTTGCGCTGGGGACTGCACAACCAAAGCTTCTCCCTGCTGATCTCATTGTGTCTGCGATCATAGACAAGCTGAAGAGACGTCCGTGTTTGACTCAAAACCTCTCGGAGCGTCTAGAAAGAGTTGAGTTCTTTGGCGTTTCGAGACGGCATCGCTTTGAAGCACACAAAATGCTGCTACCCCATTAAAAAAAAAAAAGAAAAAGAGGCTTAAACATGCGGACAATTGAACCGGGAGCTGGCAACGTCATCTAATTGGCATCTCTCCGCAGCTGTTAGTAGCATCGAACGGCTCGCTGCCCAAACGCACGACTAGTATGTGTTTTGTATCGTTATAAATAAATTTTATAAAGGGATTTGCAAAAATATACCTTTTAGATTGTTTGTGGTCTCGAAAGCTTCTTTTCCCCTTTGGTGATCGGCGGTGTTTTGGGGTCGGACGCGTTCGAGGACTGCCATTGGTAAAGACGGGATGGACCTTTTTCAAGCTAACCTCCGTGCATGGGTACGTCCTCCCCCCCGGCCTCTTCCCACCGTCGCCATTTTCCAAGGGCACCGCTGTGGGCAACCGATGTTGTCGGCAGCCATCTTTGCGGATATTTCACGTTTTTTGATGATCCTTTTTTGAGCGTTAGTATGGGGCATAAAAAGCAATGAAAATTAATGCAGCAGAACCTTACCAAGGTGTTCCGAAGGGTGAAAGCACGTTAGGCCGCCGTTCATTTGTAGTTTGCAGACGACCTCCCAGACAGTCGTTACTAGAGGAAGTTCAATTTCTAGGGCCACTTATGATAAGCCCCGTAGTACTTTTTGGGCATGAACCATGCCTTTCTGCAGCCCACTATTTGTATTATTTTTCCTTGGAATACATCTCACCTTAAAGAGAGTGGACAGGGAATCGATGGGCGTGGGACAGCCTTGTGTGGGTCAAATATATCTTACCGAAATCCAATCTCTAGCAGTCGACTCTGCTCGCAGTATATTCCGGCACATAAAATTGGACGTTGGACATTTAGACAGTGTAGCCAAGTCTGCCACAGTATGGCGACGTTGGCCAACTGCCGCGTCTTCTACGTGACCTTTCGGGGGGTAGCACGAGGCTCGGGTTGTTTGAGAGCGCTCAGTCAGTGCTTGACTGTGGCTCATGCCTGTTCTTTGCCCGGTGCTGCCCTCTGATAGATGATGTGGTAAGTCCAGTACCATGGCCAAGTTGCACCGGCTTGGTGCTGTAGGCAATGCATTTAGCATGAACCGCACGTCAAACACCCCACGATGGAACCACTATCCCGGGATCTCCGATGTGTACCACGCAATAGCTAAGCATGACATCGCACTAGTACGGGCAAGGGCGACAAAGTCAAAGTCGCCCGACTTGATCCGAGCCTCGGGGGATCGACACACTCGGCTGGCACGAGAGGACGACGGTACACTTTTATGCGGGGGATATAAATAAAGGCAGTTTTATATAGTACTTTGTTTCAGCTAAAGTCCAAATTCTGCCAATGCCACAAGCACGAGCATGTGGCTCTGAACAGTGCTCGCACTGCACGAGCAAACGTGCTTGGCAGCGACACTGAGAGCCTGGAGCTCTCGCTTGTAGCATTGGCTGCATCTGGACTTAAGCTGAAACGAAGTATAGTACCCTTTTTAAAGGTTTTTTTTGTTGACTTTTTTTTTTCTGTTTGGCAGGTAATAAAGAGACCACTTGCGAAATCCCCAAGCGCCCCAGCCCGCATCCGAGGAATTATGGGAACAGTGTTCCTTCAGTTTCCTTGCGATTGAGGAGTAATCTCGACCAATAGACCATTTGCTAGATTCCCCAAGCGCCCCGGCCCGCAGTCGAGGAATAGTGGGAACGGTGTTCCTTCAGTTCCCTAGTGATCGGTAATTTTGACCAATTTAATGCTTGCATACTTGAGTTTAAGCTGCAGTCCTCCTGAATAGGTGTCGTGTAAAGTCCAAATACCTGTCGCATCACTTTTAAATTTCCTCGTCGATGTCGACTTTTTATACTGTGCATGCAATCCACCCTTTAACCTGTCCGAGCTGCAAATTTTTTTTACAATGTTGCCATTCTCAGGACAGGAGCAACCAAAATTACCGTATATTGCCGCCTATAAGTCTACCTTTTTTTTAAAAAGTGTGCTTGGAGTAAGCGGGGCTGTTAATAGCATTTTCAGCATTCCTAAGTTAATATTGGAAACTTTGAAGCTGCACGAGAATGATGTTAAGAGATTTCTGCAGCTCCACAGTACCAAAAACGACGACGTTGACAAGAAATTTTTGAAGTGATACGACAGGTCTTTGGACTACACGATGCTTGTTCAAGGTGACTTCAGATTACAATCATAAGTGTGTAAGCATTATATTGGTCAAAATCAGCATTCACTAGGGAACTGAAACAACACCGTTCCCTTGATTCCTCGGATGCGGGCTGGGGTGTTTGGGGGACTTAGCAAATGGTCTCTTGGTTGCAGTGCTGACTTGCACCTGGGTCGTAAGGTCCACCAAAAGAGAGGCACACTTTCTTTTTCTAAGACACGTCAATAAAGAGTTGCATTTACTGGACCGGAACGAATTCACGCTTGGTGCAGAGGCAGTTTTTCTCCTTGGTTTGGATTGAGTGCTGTTTAGGGGCGACGCCCAAAGCCAAACAAAAGTTTCTGAATGGGGCCTCGGAAATGAAATGAAGCTTAAAACACAACGCATCGGCCCAATTCACATTGTCAAAGCAGCGTTTCCTAAAGCGGACGCTGCATATTGTGAGGCCACTAACAAACTGCCAGAACCAGCATTAGCGAAAATAATCGTACTCCGTGCGCTCGGAGCAAAATGGCAATTCATTCTCCTACAGCGATGCAACGTTTGGAATTGACACAGACGAGAACAAAACGAGCGCATTCGAATCGTCCGAACAGCAAATCTCGTAAACGAGGACGTCTACGAGATAAGCGCTACGTTGAATGTCGAACGTGACGAACGTCGAATAAGCGGTGCGAAGCGGCGAAGGCAAATGGAAAAAAATCGGTCAACGCTCATATTCCAGCAGAGCAGAAATCCTGGCCATCCTGGCGCAACAAGCGTCGACTGACCGAACAGGACCGAACCAACCGAACACCGTTCACCGCACCTACCCCACCATCCAGCAGCGAGAAGCACCGGGGAGCGGAGCCAGAGCACAGTGGAGCAGAGAATAGGAACTATTTTTTGTTGACGCACTCTTCCGGTTTTGGTAGTGTGTAAACAGTCGGAAAGAAGGGCGTGGGTGGCGCCACCCCGCGGCGCGTCTTAGCCGGCGCTGAAGAAGCTGTTTGTGTATTCTGGGGCAGCGAAGATCGTCCATGGCGTTGGATTCAAAAGTGGATTAGCTGCCCGAAAGCCCAGCGTGTAATCCGGAAGAACGCGACAGGATACCGGCGCTCACTCGCGTTCTCGCAGCCGAGCGGCACTCGACCTCACCTACGCGACGTTCAGGTGAGTCTGGCGCACGCCGACGGGCCCGTTCGACCCAGAGTACGGTAACGGTACCGCCGTGTTCCCGTCGTGCACACACGCACGCACACGGCGGCACACCGAGCTAAGCCTAAACTGAAGCTTGTTAGGCTTAGAGTCTGTTCCGATCACCGCATTTTCGCGTGGTCGAGCGCCAGCGTGCTTCTCCCAAGACCGCGACGGGCTCTGGGCGAACTGGCAGCGCGATCGCCGTAGCTGAAACGTCCCGAGCGGCGCGACCGCGGAGGTCTCGGCGTCCGCCGCTTTTCCCGTCGTTGCCGACGACGCGCTCGGCCGTTCGCCCCCTCCGTAGCACGTTCATTATTATTGTTTTTACGTCTGTTTTGCCGCCATTTCCACGGCCACCACTCGAGCGGGGGCCGTCAGGATGACGGCGCCTTTTTGGCGTCCACCCGCATCTGTGGTTCGAGTGAAAGCGATCACCTTCCCTCCAATTTTGTTTTGCTTGTTTCGTTTTTCTCGGAAGCAACCCATCAACATCATCGGGGATAGGTCGCCGATGGCCCACTCGACATGCGCGTTCCCCTCGTCTTCCCCCACTCAACCGGCGCGTCGTGTGTTTATACGCGTCTTGTTGACGTTTTCGGTGGCTTCCTTCCCATCCTAGCTTCGTGAACACCTTCGCGAATTTATTGTCAGCGATGCTTGAGTGTGCGGCCGCGGTGACGGTCGAGCGGGATTGCGGCCGATAGATAGTCGTCGCCGGCGGCCGCGCCAGCAGCTGCGGTTGATAAGCGACGCGCGACGACGTCGTCGGTTGCGTGCGTGCGCGCGCACGGCAGCGGGAGGCAGACTTGACGACCGGCGGTGTGGGTGGCGCGCAGGTAGCGTCGCGGCTGCACATGCTGATCGGCTGACTGGCCCAGGAGCGCGCGCTCGCTTGAAAGACAGCCAGGGGAGGAGAGAGCGGTCGACATGCCCCGCAAGGCTCGGACGCCGGCCGCCAAGGCGCAGGACGCCGCCGAAGTGGCCACCGAAGACGGCAAGCAGGAAGACTCGGTGAGTGTGGTGCCTTCGCACGGCGCCCTACAGACGCGTCCAGTGTGGCGGGTCGTCTGCGGGCTGATCTCAAGCATGACGCCACCCGCGGTTACTCGCTTCCGCGAGGAAATGTAGTCCGCAAAATGTTTTGCTTCTATCACGAAAAGGTCCCTTCTAAAACCTCACACGCGTGCCTGTCGCTTCTCTTAGTATTGCACAGAACTCTAGATAAATTTTTTGTATGTGCGCTCTCCTCTCATGAGAAAAGGAAAAGCGAGGTTTGCAGGCAGTTAAGTCCGCTGCGCGAAGTAGTTGCTACAAGAGTTGGTTGGCGGAGAATCAATGTCGTTTTTCATTTGAACTGTGTATGTTTTAATAAAGAAGAAAACAAGACTTCCCTTAAATGCACATACAACTATCTGGTCACCAAGGAGCCAAGCATTTTCGTTTTGTTTAAACTATATTCGGCGACAACTGTTTTGTGCTACGTTGTCAAAGTTAGCCTAGCTTTCACAGTGCTCGAACTCTGTCAAAGCTAGTTGTGCAAGCGCATGCAAATGAGGTGCAAAAGGCAAAACCACATCTTCCTGCAGCAGTGAGAGACAGTGCTATGCTAGCTTTGACAATGTACAGTAGCACCAAATAGTAGCTGCAGAGTATAGTGCTCTGAGGTAGTAAGGAGTGGTTTTTAAGAGAATGATGCACTTCCAGGTGAAGGATGGTTCGTATCGGAATGGTGCTTGAAAGTAATAAATAGAATCGGTGTTTTCTAAGCATTCTCCATCGTTTTCTTAAAAGTATTGGTAAAGTCCGGAAAAAAAACCCAAAAAAACTTGGTTGCAAAAATTTGTTTTGGAAGTCTCACTTCTAGGTTTTATTTTGTACTGGTTTCTCTAAAAGTTGACCCAGTCGGACAACCTTGTTCACTTGCTGTGGTTTAGATACTTGCAGTACTTGAAGTCAGTGCAAGGGCTGCACTTACATAACTCCCTGTGTAGCGTGGCTAATCAGCATATTACGACTGGAACTTGCTTCACTGAAGCTTAGGGCTCGGCTGTATGTGTAGCTCTAGTTGAATTCACATACAAAGGCCGGGCAACTGCTGCTTCTATTTGCATCCATGAGCCAACTGCTCAATTGCCTGTCTTTGTGACTCCTTTTTTCTCTTCCGGGGAGATTCGCTACATTTTCAGGGAACTTGCAGAGAATATACGAAATATTTCAGAATTTTGCAAATGCCAATCCAATTCAGGTACAGCTAAGTTGCCCCTAATTCCAACCATACATCTTCATCTGTGGCATCCCAAAGGAACTTTTGAGCCGCTGGGGACGTTTGTTTCTTTAGGTACCTACATCGGCCAGGGGACATCTTTGTATGGTTATTATATCAAGTCACTGTACATATACAAAAATATGAACAGTATTCAATTCAAATATGAAGACAACAAAATTTATGACACCAGACAGGAATGATGCACAAGACAGAGCCTGTGCGGCAGTGCGAGGCTGTGGCACTGCGGAAACCAAGATGGCCTTGACAACATAGCACTAAATGAGTGCCGAGTATAGACCAGTTTTACTGGGCAGTATAAAGTCCATACGATTGATTACGAGACCATGGTGGCGCCGTTGTTGGGCAGCCCTGGAAAGTTTCCAACGGGCAGATATTTCCAAATCTTCTTTCACCGTGGGCTTGGAATGCTTTTGACAATGTCATAAGTGACCATTTCTTGTAGATAATGCAATTTGTGCTCGTAAATAGCGGTTATAAGCTGTCCTAGTGCTCTAGGTCAAAGACGAGAGTAAATGTGCTAGTTAGCCTTTAGAAATACTCCGGTAAACGATCGACGCCCGGCGGTCTCGCGAATGATGTTGTTTGTTCGGCACGCAGCCCACCGTCACCACCGGAGGTCCCCGCCGGTCGGCGCGGAGCGGGGCGCGCCCGGACTACGCCGGTCGTTCCAGGCGCAGCTCTACCGCGGCCCAGACAGCGGCCTCCAAGGCGGACCGGGGCTCCTCGGCCGACAGGGCGTCCCCCGTGGAGTCGCCGGCCACCCGGGTCAAGAGCGCCAGGCGCACCTCCGGCCAGGTGGGTCTACGGTGGCGCCTCAATTGAGGGCGGCCGACTCGCACCTCCGGTTCCCGCAAGATGCAGAGACGCAGCGTAAAGATTGCCATTTGACGTACTTTTTCGGAAAATCCCGCGAGGCCTCTCGACGGACCCGCATTCCGCCGCGCCGAACTCCGGGGCCGTGCTGACGCGCGCTCCGTGCGCTGTAGTGCTGACGAGTGATCCATTAGTTTACCTTCCTTTGAATCGGAAGGCCATCATTGAAACTACTATACATAGCTTAGCTTCCACTGACATCACTTGCTCTGACATAATGAGGGAAGGGTGCACGAGAGGGTAGTTTCCGCCAAGTTATTGAGGCGTTTCTGACCACCAGAAGGAGGTTTCAGATAGCCGTCATGTGCAAGCCACGTATAGCAGGGTGTCTCCTTCCTGGAAAACCTGGACTTGTCGGGGAAATTGCGAGAAAACTGGCAATGTCGTGGAAAATGACGGAACGAGGTTGTGCTGCAGCACGCAACGAGGCGGGAAGGTGCGGCGTGGATGGTTGTTGCATAGGGTAACAGTTGCCCTACGCGTCACTAGGCAAAGTGGGCCACCGGCCGATTCATTGGATGAAACTAAAACAGTTCGAACGTTTGCACTTCCTTCTTTCGCGGTAGTCAGTTAATTTAATCAAAATGTACAAGGAAACCCTGGGAAAATGGGGGGACTTTGAAAGGAGTCATTTGGTAGACACCCTGTTGCGCACAGTACGAGACCGGTTGGGAGGTCTTTTGGCTTTCACGCCTCCAGCTTGGGCTTCCTACCTTTGACGACGCATCTCGTGTACCCCGAGCGTGCACGCACAGCCAAAGCACCGCAGAGGTCAGCGAGCACTTGCTCTGGGTCGTGCATTGGGAAGGGGTGCGCTGCCGTTCTTGTGCTGTCAGTGTCCATGGTGTGTGGAAAAGTGCTTGTTCGGGGCACTAAGCTAAGTGGTAAAGTCTGGTGGCTGCCGACACAACTTTCAAAGTGAAGCGTGAGAAAGTGTGAAACGCCACGTTCACTCTAACGGTGTTCTGCAGTGTGCGTCCCGGAAGTTGCACAGTCTCTCTTTTCTTGCCGTTCCGAGTTAGAAACGCAAAGAAAATGGAGCAAACGCTTAACTCTTTCCTGGCCATAGGGAAAAACGCATTTTGTGTGGCTTGTCACTAGTTTTGTTTCCTGAGGAAACTAGGTTTACAATATAATGCCATAAGTAGAAATGAAACTAAATAAACTTTTTGTTGATGCAAATGTCAAAGCAATGACTTTAATTCTATCGTACAACTTCATTCTTCAGACACGATTATTTTCCAAAAATTGGTCCAGACCAGGTAAAGCCATGGCTACGTCTTGAAAGAGAAGTGTACCGAGAAAATCTAAAATATTTGCAGTATTTTCCCCATTTTGACAAGAAAAAGCTCGCATAATAGAGCTCTAGCTCAGAAAAGTTATCCAAAAGTGAGGTCAACCCTCATGACTGGTGTGCCATTGGCATACCTGCCAACTCTTCCGAAGTTTTCGTAAAATGCACGAATTGGGACTAATTTTATGGTTTTTTGAATCTTGCTCGAAATCTTACGAAAAATATATTTCTTATTTTTTTATTTTTTTTTTAACTCCGTTGTTGGCGGTATTTTGCACTGCCACAAGAGGACGAGAGGTACCGTCCACAGCAGCGTCGTGGTTTTAACTATCCGTCTATCCGGTGGCCACGGATCGAAAACCAATCCAATGCTCAAAGCCTTCGTTCGTGTGTTCGGCGGTGCACGGGTGCACGTCGGTTCGGTGTGTTCAGACGTTGTTGGGCCTCGTTGTTTCGGCCAGTTTCGAAGCGAGAAGTACGGAGTCTGTGTTTGTTGCACGTATAACTGTAGCATTCTCCTGGTCAATGTGGCTTCGCGGCGCAATGCCGAACTCCAAACCTCAAAAGAGGTACTTTCAGGTGTTCCTGAAATCCTACACGTCGAAATTTCCGTGCTTTGTTCCGCCCAAAAAGCGAGAGAAGTTTGGATTCTTTAGCACAAGCACGTGTGAGGTATGCGTTTCGCACGCTGGCCAGGCTGACATTAAGCTGCGCATCGCTTCGCGTAGCCTCCCCCCCCCCCCCCCCCCGCCCCCCGCTGCGGCCGCGGGACTTCTACGAATTGGAAAGTCCACAGGTTGGCAGGTATGCATTGGGCAAAGCAGTTTCTCAATGTGTTGAAGCCGGGTCGTCGGAACTAAAATACCCCTGCTGCTATCCGAGCCGAAAAACCAACCGAGAATTCGTGAGAATCGCCACACTTGTAAGAGCGCTCCAGACCCGTACGAGCAGCCACGGCCACCTGACAACGACGTGCAATCTGTTTCACGCTTGGCTTAGGAATTGCCACCCCAGTTTTAAAGTTACCTAAAAGATGACGCAACGAGTGGGGAGCTCCGCAAAAATGTCGAAATGGGCCTTCACTTTCGTAGATTATGGGTGATACACGTTCTGTGTTTCACGGTCAGGAAGGAGTTTTCAAAGCCAATGCACGTGTGGTATTGTCGTTGTCCTACCTTCTTTGCATTCTAAAATCTCTTAATGCTAAACCAACACAAATCAGTTTCTCTATTCGTGGGTAATTCGTTGGGCGCCATACGTCGGATTGCCATAGTGCGTCCTGAAGACAGCACGTGGGCTGCATATTTCTGGAGGGGTCTGATTGTTTCTTCCTGCAGAGTCGCCCATTTGCCGAGAAAGTCTACAGCCGTAAACCGACGTAGGAAGATAGGGTAACGGTGCGTTGCAGGCTCTGAAAGTCTCTCGAGTTGTTCCGGTACCTAGACCTTCCAGGTTTATTTAAGTCTGAATGTCTTTGGCGTTTTGGTGGCCGTAAAGGTTATGGGAGAGGTTGTATTACGCTTATTAGTGAAGATGCGCCTTGTTTCTGAAATTCTCCTAATTTCTGTGTCATTCTTGAACATGATGGGGAAAAGGGGTCGGGCAGTCGAAGCCCCGAGCAGCTGTTCCTGCGCAGTAAAAGCTGGAATATTAGTTGAATGTTCTATTCAAGTGGGGGAAGGGCTCTTCTACACTGTGTTCCTGCAACAATTGTGGTTTGCATAATTGTTCTGTTAAACGCCCTTCGAGTGCCAGGTCAGTACTACACCTGGGTCCTTGGACAGGGTTCCCAAGCCAAGTTTTCTGCGGTATCCCCTCCCTGTAGTGAATGGCTTGGCTGCAACGCTCCTTGCTTATAGGAAGTTCTAGAATAGTGCACGCTAAAGCTTTGCGTGCGCAAAGAATAGCGCCGTTGCCACTGCGCATGCTCCAAATGCAAATCAGGTTTTGCGCTTTGTGTGTGCAATTTTAGCGTGAGGTTTTTTCTCGGAAATAGCGTGCGTACGCAAAGAGTCTTTGCACTTCTCCAAGGAGGATTCGTAATGACAAGTTGGCTAAAGCCAAGACGAGCCGAGTTAAAAAAAAAAATGGCAGCTTCCAGGGGATTATGTTGACGGCCGCTTTGGCGGCGTCGTGAGTGGATGTCGGCGGCATCCTTGCGACTGCAATTTTCATTACGGGACGATATTGTACTCGGTTTGGCAACGATTACCGGCAACTTGCAACAAGCTCGTTGGCAACTTGATGCTTGCGACGCGTGAACCTTTCTCGGCGAAGGTGCGATGTGCAAAGGTCAGTACACAAGAACACTCTTGCCGAGGCGACGCAAGCAAACACGACCGGTCAACCGCTCGTGTCGCATTCTCATGTTTAAACAAACCTAAAATGCTACTCTGGACCAAAAAACTTTTTTTCTTTTTTTCCAAACTTGCAGCATTTCGTGTGTGAAATAAAAATTGTTACTTTATCTTGGTGGCGTCGCAAGCGCGAGATGCTTGGGCTTTTGCGTTGTGAGGGAGAAACGGTATTCTAAAACTCTCTTGCGTCGCATGCGCTAATACAAGTGCTAAATTTAGTGCTAGCGTGCGCTAAAATTGCGTACGTTATTCTAAAACTCCCTAATGTTGTTTGTCTCGCTTCGACGTGCTGCCTGAATCTCTTGGCCTAATTGTGTTTGAATTGTTACCTTGGTCCCTTGCGGGTTCGCTGGGAGATCACGAGAGAGAAAATTGGTTCTGGACTATCTAGTGTACCGGGGACAGGCTGCCCTCGGTAAAACAGGCTGGCTCTGCAAAATAGCTGTAGAATTTGTGGCACCATATTTGAGGGCAGAAAGGGAACAAAACCATCATGTTATTTGTTGGCTAGACAAGCTCGACTGTTCAAAGTGGGATATAGATATCTTTTTGTGTAACTCTACTGTTGTGCAATGATGCTGTTGCAATGCATAAATGTAAAAAAAAAAGAAAAGAAGAAACTGCAATTAAGCTGGAGCGTCTGTTTTATGGACAGCGTTAAAGAGCTTAGTTCAGGGGGGTTATATGAGTTAATATACAGGTATGTTTTTATTACAAGCAACTTTGAGGTTAATGACAAGATGAACAGAACAGCGCACACAAAGACAAGGACAGAGAAACGGAACATGCAGGACACACAAGTGCATGTTCCTTTTTTTCTCTGTCCTTGTGTTTGTGTGCGCTGTTCTGTTCATCATGTCATCATACCAACTCGCCCAACTTACGATACTTCTGCAGTTAATGACAAGCTAAGAATTTAGTAGATGAAGCATCTACTGAATTTTGAAGTCTACTACTCCAGCATGAGCTTTCTTTGATAACACTTCATTGCATGTGGAGCCAAAGCCTGCCAGAAGGCAATGAATGCATCTTGCAGGAAGGGTATCCAATGAATTCTTAGCCTTCCACCAACTATAGCAGGGGGGGCCAAAGTGAACATCGAGTTAAAGCCGCAGACAAAACTACAAAAGTTCAGAGAGAGCTGCAGGGAAGGAAGGGGGGGAGAGGCTACTTCTACCAAGAAATGATGTGAAGGTAACTGTCCTTTTTAAAGGGGACAAACATAATTGTCGACTGCAACAAATAACACCAGGCAGCAGAACGTTTCTTCAGCCACTAAGCAAAAATTCCAAGGACACAAGGACACCTATGCACTTATGAGCTATGAATGCGAAAGCATTAATGTCCAATTGAACGGCCTTTGATGATATAGATCAGGGGTGGGCAAGCTGCGGCTTGTGAGCCACGTGCGACTTTTCGCGTGTTAAAGTGCAGCTCGCGGCTCCCTCGAAGACGAATACACATAAATAAAGGCATCCAATTCCTATGACCCATCCACCTTAGTCATACACTTTCGCTTGAAACTGGGTTTTCCATTTCCTCTTACTATTTGTGGGACTAGGTCCCTTCCACCAGAAAACCTTGGATTGTTAGGGTTTTCTAAGGAAACATAGGGAAATAGTGATAAAACCATAGGAGAAAACTTGGGATTGTAGGGAAGAGAACCAGGTAAATTGGGTTCATCCAGCGAGATTTGGGGAAAACCTGAAATTCTTAAGGGGAAGCTGAAACACTTTGTTAAAAAAAATGAGATAGAGGTTGATTTTAGCATAGCTTTATCCCGTGAATCTGAATATCATGTTCGTTTTTCTTGAAAATGTAACTCAACGCCAGAAAACACGAAAAACCTCCAACCAGTCGTGACGTCGTAAGAGAATTTTCCGGCCTCCAAGTGCATGCCGCTCAAGGGCCGCGTGTGCAATCGCAAGCTTGCCAGGTATATTTCCCCGCACTGGCACCAGTCGTAATGTCTTTTTCTGCCCTTTTTAGAATAGCAAGAGTGCGCGTGTATAGCTTTGATAGGCACCGAAGATGCACGAGAGCGGAGATTCCGAAAACTCCTTTTGGGAATGTGACACTCCAAGAAACAGACCCTTCATTACCATGAAATTTGGAAGCATCATAAAGGGAATGTTGGACACTGATGGGGAATGTGAGAATGTTGGGAAACTTAGGGGAAAGGACTAGGGGAATGCAAAGGGAAATGTGGAAAACCCTTGAAATTGTAAGGGAAAGGGAGGAAAATCATAAGGAGAGAGCCCCGGGAAAAGTTAGGAAAAACGGTAAGGAGAAGGTCTGTGAAGTTTAGGCAAACCATCGAATAGGTTGGGGGGACATTCGGGAAAATCACTAGTGTAAGTTTGCTTAGTACTGGAAAATGTAAGGAAGTTTGGAAGATCAAAAGGGGAAATTGGGTCATCCTGGCTGACGTATGTGGAAAGTTGGGGAAAACCGTAGGGAGAAGGTTGAGGAAAATTGTTAGAAAATTTTACCGGAAGTTAGGGAAAACCATAAAGAGAAGGTTTGGGAAAATAGTAAGGGGAAGGGGGTTTACCCCATGGAAGTTTGAGGAGAGTCGTTAGGGAAAACCATGAGAAGTTTAGGGAAAATGGTAAGCGGAAAGTGGGACTACCCTGGGAAGTTGGCGAAAACTGTAGGGGGAGGGTTGAGGAGAATCTTAAGGGGAAGGTGTGGCTACCCTGACAAAGTTAAGGAAAACCACGAGGGGAAGGTGTGAGAAAATCGTAAGGGGAAGTTGGAGCTACCCCGAGGAAGTTAGGTAAAACTGCAAGGGGAAGGTCGTGGAGAATCGTAAGAGGAAGGTGGGGCTACCTCGGAAGAGTTGGGGAAATCTTGAGGGCAAGGATTGTGAAAACCACAAGGGGAAGGTTAGCGACAAGCGTAATGGGGCCGGGGCAATCTGGCGGGACTTCCTGACAGGGTGGGTTTGGGCGGCCTCACAGGTGAACTATGAGGAAAGCGATGGCGAGGAGGAGGCAGTGGTGGCCAGCAAGGACGAGGACGAGTACACGGTGGACGACGAATCGGAGGTCGAGTCCAACTCCGGGGACAACAAGCGGAAGGGCGCCCGGGTGGCGGCCGCCGCCGCGAGCACGGGAGGGGGCCGCTCCCAGAGGGCCCCCGTACGCAGCCCCACCAAGGCGGGGGCCGCCAGAAGCTCCAGGGGCAGGAGGGGCAAAGCACGCACCTCCCAGGAGGACGAGGAGGAGGAAGAGGTGGGTGCTCGGAGTGCATTTTGGGCCGATGCTGTAGTCACTGACAGGATGGAAGCGGCTTGGGGAGGTTTGGTTGTCCAGCCTCTAGCCTCTAGAGGGTGGACGCACAGCCAGAGCACGGCAGAGGGCATGAAGTGCGTGCGGGAGGACAGTTGTCAAAAGGAGGTGCCCCGTCGTTCTTTATTCTGTCAGTGAGTAGATGAACTCAGTTGCTATACTGCAAAGAAGCGAAGCCCCTCTCACTCCCGAGGCCACCACTCGTAAAGTGCCTTTATGTTTTGAAAGAAACGCAATATGCGTCGAGGCGCGTGCAACGTGCAGCACTTGGTTGCACGTTGCAACCAAGGGCTGCATTTTTGTGGCATGAGCTAGATTTGAGTTGCCATGTTTTTCCCAGAAGTGGCACGTCACTCGAGCACTTCCACAAGAATGAATGGCTCCACTTTTCCCAGAATAGAACAACTCTAGCCACTCGTCATTTCAAGCGCCATCTAGAGGCCGTGCTTCGAAGCTGCTTTCTTAGGAGCGACTACGGTGGAATGCCAAATAGGCTCTGCGCTTGAAAACCTGCGTATTCTACCAAGTTACCTCGATGACCATCTCCAAATCAGCTATGCTTCGAACGACTGTAGGCGAACCTTTGTGGGAGAAAGGGCGCTGCGTGTGGATGCGGCGTCTATAAACATTTCCGCAACCGAGTTTACGCGGTAAATTTGAGCAATGTACTTTGCGTCCCGTTTTGCCCGCACGTCAATAGCGGTCTCGAAGTGGCAGCAGTTTAGGTCACGCCGGCCGGCAGCACATTTAGCGGGCCATGTTCCAAAATTCATTCAATCTCATTCTCGGGGTAAGGTTTTGTACCTTGGCGTTCGAGAACCTTCTTGCATCCAGCATTGCTCTTTCTGTGTTACTACGCGATGTGACCTACGAGAGTAAGTGATCTACTCGAGTAAGGGTTGGAACGGAGCAATAGTCATCCGTCGCGATTGTGGCGGTTGGCTTTAGAAGTTCCGGTGAAGAGGGAGGGCATACGCGAAGGTAGTCACTGTTGTAGCATCCTAGCCCTTGGCCTTCCGATTTCCATCGACTGTCCTTGGGGCATGAAGGGACCGGCAGTCGCAAACATAACAGCCGGGAAAACATGTAGACCGAAAGCGTATCGGCAATATTCTACTCTAGTGCAGTAGTGCCTTGCAAGCAGCATGTTTAACGGAATCGCACTGTCGACACTTTACTTTGTTTGCCCGGAAACCAAGAACCCTAGGTAGCATGCAGTGTAGTTAGTTTACCATAAAATCCCGTAAGAATACCCACCCAAAATGAAGAGATCATTGGTGAAAAACATGGGGTGGACGGTCTTTGGGGATGCGACAGCAAAACTTTATCAAAAATTGGTGATCAACACACGGGCACCCACTAAAAACTATGTGACACGGGAACTGATACCGCAGATTGCTAATGCAGCAGATTTGCATTTCACGATGCGATGTACACGTGAGAACAACTCGTGTGTCACGGGAATCGATATCGTGCACGCAGGCGGTGGCCGAAAACGTAGGAACCCGCCACAAATTCGTTTGTCACAAGTACCGGTACCGCAGATCGTGCAATAGATGGGATTTCCGTAAATTCCCGTGAACTTTTATGTCATGGATATTTTGGGCAGAAAAGGGGATGGGCAATCTCTTGGCGAAGGGCATTCGTACGAGATTTTACGGCAGTTAGATAGCCTGCGTTGTGCTTTCCATATTCTCCTTTGGCCACAAGCTCAGAACTTACAGGCCCATATCTCAGGAATGCAATGTAAGGGAGAGAATACTCTTGTAACAACTACTTTCAGCTCACTTCTTGGACTTCGAGTAAAGCTTGGCCCGTGCAAGTTCAGCTTTGTGCGATCTTGGAGCTTGTTTGTCATTTGTCCCGCCATCTTTTTCCTCTGTCCGTCGAAAACTCTACCCGTATTGCAGTCTAAGCTCATTATAACAGACCTTGATTTTTACCAAGATTGCGGTCTGTTGTAAGAAGAGTATGTTGTATGCAGATATGAAGTTGAGTCAATGGTGCATAGAGGGAAACCAACCAAACTTCACAAATCGGTATGTTATATCGGTATGTTATATCCAGGTCTGTTATAATGAGCGTAGACTGTATCGGTTTGCCCTCAGATTTCTTGCAACTTGGATGTTTTATTTGTTTTGTATCTCATTCCATCCCAAAACTTTACCTTTTTTTTTCTCAGTTCCTTTTTGTATAAACAGGGGATGTATTTATGGCCTGCACCTGGCAAGTTTTGGCGTTAACGTCACACTAAGTGTTTCTTTGGGATTTAAATTTTGCGGAAAAGCTTCCCTCCCGACTTTAATGAGAAATGTCGAAGGAACATTGGAATTGGTGCATACCGTGTTTGCACAATTCTTACGCGCAGGCAGATTTGGCTTCCAGATAATCAAAAAGTAAATTGCTGCCGATTCTCCCGCACAGGTAAAATTTGAAGATTGAACACAAATCTCATGGAACAGATTTTATGAAACTCGCGCCAACATAAAAATAAATGCTGTGCACTAGTCCGACGATGGTTCTCTGCTGTCCACAGAGGTGATACTTGCCTTTGCGCATGTACGAGTGTGTGACTGTCACCTCTGGCAGGATTTTCTTTTAAACAACACTTTGTGAGCTTGTCGGGTGGCTGGGATTGCCAGGCCACGCAGTGCTGCTCCGTTATCTTTTTCCGCCAGCGTGATACCCTTTCGTTTAAATAAAGCCTCCTAGTGCAACTTTTTTTTCTCCCCATTTTAAAACGACACACGAGTTCCTAGACGCGAGAAAATGCATGTACTAATACAAATACCAAAATGGCAAACTTAAGGGGGGGATATGGCCTGGGAGGGTCAACTTTTGAACCCTTCACCCAATTTGGTTCAAATTTTGAGGGTTATTTCAGCACTATGAGGAAGGATAATCTGCAAAGTTTTAGCATTATTGGTCAACTTTACAGTTTGCTACGGTTCTCGCACTTCAGAAAAAAGACACTTCATTAGGAAGTCTATCGTAGAAAAATAAAATTAGCTGGTGGCAAACTTTTTGCTTTAATGTGAAGAACAATACCCACAGTGCAACCTAGATAAAAAATAAATTGAAAAATATTCAATTATAACAAAAATAAGAACATCCCAAAATTTAAAAAGAAAATGTAAAATTTTTGTTTAAAAAAAAATTTTTTTTTTTTCATGAAGGAGTAGATTTTTTGAACTGTGAAGTAGTCTATCTTGTTCCCCAGAAAATTTCAGTCCCGGAAAACCTTGAATGACGTCCCTCTGCATTCAGAACGTCAAACGATAGCTTTCCTAAAACAAGAATTCCTGCCAAAAAGTGAAACTGAGAAAAATGCGTTTGAAGTTTCAACTTGTTTTTTTTTTTATTTTCGGACGATGCCAGAAGCTCGAAATTTACCCGAGTCATTGGTGGCCCCTTCAACTACATGAGCATGAGGAGGGCAGTGCGTTGAGGCAGTTGAGGCCCCCTAAGAGATTCGTGAGCTTTGTGAAACTGATGCCACAGTCTTTTCCAACGACGCCTAGACGTACCGCGAGTTCGTTCTCTCGAAACTTGCCGATTGATGGTGAGTGCGGTGTCGCGACGATGTCTCCGCAAGTCGAGCAGCTAACAACAAACTGAAGGTTGATGCCAATTTCTTCTTGCAAGCTCAGTAGTTTTCCGTGGCACTCGAGGCAGAGTAAAATCGCAACAAGAGTCTGCATGGCGGACACATTGAGGAGCCGGTCAGGGGCTTTTCAACAGGAGCGTCTGTCAGCTCCGGGTCGTCCGTAATTTCCGCGTCGAAATCGTGCAGGCTGAGCTTCCTCTTGAACGTGGTCAGCACATCCGATTCGGAGATGAAGCTGTAGGCTCCGATGTCCGCCAAGCACCAGTTGAGCTTGGAGATCGTGACGACGGCGGCAGAGACGGCGACGATGGTGCCGGCGGAGACGGGTCCCCGTCTCCGCCGGCCCTTTGTTTCCGCCGTTGAGAATGCCGGCCAGAGCTACTGCGAGTGCTAACTTTGGAAGCAGGCATTTCTCGGCAGAAAAACTACCGGGAACAAAGAGGGAAAACGAATCTAAACAGCGGCGAACTAGCGATACGATCAGAAGCGAAAGAAGCTGCCGATAGCGCGCACAGGCGGCCAATCGGGAGCCCTGTTTCGGGTCACAACCAATGGGATTGCTGCTATCATAGTTCCCACGTTTTTTCTGCTTGTATGTACGGGGTTCTCCCGGGACACAGATAGCCTCAAACGTAGCAAGCTTCTATGGGCAGAAACTAGAAGAAACGGCGCTTCCAACGAGGGTAAGATATCTCGGCTGCGTCGAACGAGCGCGGAGTAGGCCTAATTTGAAAATGCTGAACTTCGCCGTCTGCTCGCTCGGCGGGTCGCCGCGCGCGGCTGCGAGCTTGCCGAAAATAATTTTTTGTGAAATAAATACTGCGCATTTATAAATGAAACTTTCTGAAACTATTCTTCAGAACATAGTGAACCCAAATATAATATTTTTTGAAAATGCATTTTTTTCGGAAAAAAATGGAATTTCGGGGCCGTATCCCCCCTTAAACGAATGGTCACGATGTTTGGTGATGGGGCTAGCCACCTTACAGGTGGTATTCACTGGTCGCCATATTTGAGGTAACTGCTCACAGCGCATGCTCGGTAGGAGTTTCCCCTCAGCTCTCGGGCAATCGCAAGAGAAGAAGGGAAGGAGAAACTCTCTTCTCACTGGGACTTTCCTTTGTATGCAACTCCCTCTAGAAGATTCTAGACGATTAACTTTCACTCAAAATTCGTACAGAAGCAGCGTTCCCCTCTCTTTCTCACGGTGGTTCGCAAGCAGCAGCGAGCTCAGCTATGACCGCCTGTAAATACAGCCTATACCAAGCAATGTGTTTTTTTTTTGTTTTAATTGTAACACGCATGTAGTTTTTGGCAACGATTTTGGCAAAAAAAAGTGCATTAGAATCGTGCAAACGCGGTACTTTCCATATTTTCCAGGGTATAGTCGGGAAACTAGACATTTTTAAATGTTTATAAAGTTTGTATGGTGGGGACCGTCTACAGGTGTGGACTATAGAAGGATTTGTTTTTGCAAGGTTACTAATTAAGATGGACATGACAGATTTTGTGAGGTACAGAGTATGTTAATTATAATTCCTGTAGGATGCAAGGTTCTTTGCGCACTAATGAGAATGAGGATCTTTTGGCACGTGAACGATGCACTAGGTGCAAACTATGCCCCGGCTCCGTGCTATTCAAGGGGAAAGCTTTTTCTTTGGCCGTTCTTTAAATCCGGAAAATACGGTAAATACCGATTCAATCAGTGCATGCTTCTGCACCGGTTTCAATCCACGACATATTCTCTGACCCACTGCGTTTACCCGGTAAGGGACAAGGGGACTTGAGCTTTTGTTTTTCCCACCCGTTGTGCCTCGCCAGGTGATTCCCGCCAAGCGCCAGGGAGCCCGGAGCGCCAGGGGGGAGAGGGCCGCCCCTGCACCGGCGCCTGCGCCAACCCCCAGCAGGAGGGGTGCCGGCCGGTCCAGAGCCGCAGCCGCCACGCCGGCAGCCGAGCCGGCACGCCCCAAGAGGGCCGCCCGCTCTGCTCGTGGCCGGAAGGCCAAGGAGGAAAAGGAGGAGGAGGAGCCCGTGGAGGAAGAGGAGCCCATGGAGGACGGAGAGGAGGGGGGCACCGGGAAGAGGAAGCTGACTGACGAGGGAGAAGAGAGTGGCACCCCGGAAGCCAAGAAGGCCAAAGTGGAGGAGAAGGAGGGGGAGAAGGGAGAGGAATCCATGGACACTGCGGAGGCGGAGGAGCAGGCGGAGGAGAAGGAGCAGGCGGAGAAGAAGGAGAAGGAGGAGCCCAAGGTGAAGGAAGAACCGAAGAAGAAGGAGGAGCCCAAGAAGAAAGAGGAGGAGAAGGAGACGAAAGAGGGGGAGAAGAGAAAGGAAGAAGCGCGAGCCGACGAGGCTGAGAAGGCGAAGCCTCCTGCTGGTGAGTCTTCCCTCTTTTAAAGCGAAAGCATTAACTGTCCTATGGAGTGAACAGGCGTTATCTGAGTGTAACCGGCGTTATCGTTTTCTGTAGCAGGGATAAGCGGCACCTAAATGCCGATTGGCAGAGTAAAATGGCACCTACATTCTGTCTGTAGTAGCAGAAAATGGCATCTGGATTCCCCCGAGCGAAACGTGACCAAGATTTGCGTTGGCTACGACGCGTCATGTGGCTCCATAGCAACGGCGTCGTTATTGCTAAGAACCTGGGCGAACTGCTGGAGGCGTAGTGGGAGGGGGTACATGGGTATGCGCTGGCCTGACATTAGGCCTAACGTTAGGCACATAGGTTACGCTTCGAGGTCTAATGTCGTTAACCGGTACCCGCAGCTAGAATGACAACGATGAGAGGACACGTGATTCCAGCGTGTGCCGCGCCGAGCTTTGTACTCCCGTTGCTGCTGCCAGCGCGCCAGGGACGCTTTCGCATTCACAACCAGTAAGAAGTGCTTAGGTGTCCTTGAAATTTTTTTCGGGGGACGGACACGGATTTTGACACAGTGTGAACAGCCAGACGCGTCGTTCGGATGCCCAGCTTCCAGCACGCGCCCCGTGCCTTCCGCCGTGCTCTGGCTGTGCACGCGCGCTCGAGGTGCGCGAGATTTTTAAGCGTTGTTAAGTTCCGAGGGGGGAGAAAAGAAAAAGAGGTCCTGCCTTTGTTTAGAAATATGCGAAGGTACCGTATAAATCAAAATATATGTCGAATTTATTTTTGAAAATGGACCTGAAAAAGTTGACCCTGATCTTATATAACGGTCATTAGTGGGAAAAACAAAAATAATCTTGCAACAAGATGGCGAGCGACCATCTTGTTTTTCTTTGCAATCGCGTAGCACTCGTCAGCTTGTCACGATCACGATTCCCTTTCACTTGTGCGCCTTGGTTACATCTACCGTTGCCGCTCTCGGAACGATAATGAGCGGAAGTAGAAGACGTTACTGACGAGGCCAGAGACAAAAATTGGTGGCGTGCAGCAAGGTGAAAAACTTTATTTTGTGGAAGGGCTGCGGTGTACCCTGAATGGGAAAAGAAGGTGGCAAATTTTATTTGGGATTTGCTCGCCAGATCGCTATTTGTGATGTCCGAGTGCATCCGTACGAAAGCTGTCGAGGCCGCTCGTACCTCCTGGCTCTCGAAGGTGCAATTCAAAGGGACGGCATCGTCCCTTTGAATTGCGTGGTGGACTGGTTGTCGGACAAAGTACTAACGCTCGAGCACTCCCTGTTTTATCGCGTGCGAACCACTTAAATAAATGTGCCATGTTTTCTCGTCCTTCCGTATGCTTGGCCAATCTGTTACCAAGGTAAGGTTGCATTCTTTTGCCAAAAATCTTTTGCGCTTTTTACAACTTGTAAATTAGGGTGTCGACCTATATTCCAGTTTACACGGTAATGCACGAGGTATCTGGTAGTTTTTTCCAACACAGTTTGTTGCGACAGATTGGTGCTTAATTTCGTAGAAAGAAATCTGTTTTTCCGTTTTTATTTTATGTGGCCATAACTCCGGAACAAAAGACTGCCGAAAAGAAAATGTCTAATAAGCGAGCGGTTTTTCACAAAAGCGGTGTGGTATGAGGGGTACAAATGCTCCTTTAGCCATCTCAACCCTTCTGATCGTGTATTGTAGAAAAGACGACCGTCACCAATAATCGGGGAAGTTTTAGCAGTTTATCTGGCCTACGGACTACGACGCACTCCGACAAAGGTGCATGAGATGAGTGACAACGTGCCTTTGCGCGACGCACAGCCTGTGGATAGGGGGAGAGAGCAAAGTGGGAAAAGGGCAGCAGCGACGGCACGTCTACGCAAGTCCCAACTTCACTCGTGTTAGACGTATTCCGGGTTAAAAAATAAAAGTTGCACGGACGCGTTCTTTATTCGGCATTGGTCGTAACGCATTTCCCACCGGTGCGTATAGAATCCTGTTCTGCGATGCATCAAAAGCGGCCCCAAGGCGGCAACGAATGACGTTGCAAGAGCCGGAGTGTCACACCGGCAGATGTAGTGTTCCCAGTGGTTGGCCGTAGAAGTTCCAGAGAAAAGCGGAAGAGACTGCGAGCGTTGCCATCGCTGCGGATTCGTGGATTGTCAAGTCGGAGAGCGATCCGCAGCAAAACGGGCGTCTGCCACATCCACAATCGCCGCTGAGATGCCGCAAGGGTCGCGGCAGGGATGGCACGATCGTTGCACGACGTCGTCAATCAAAAATAAAGAAACTGCTCTTTAGGACGTGCTCAACGCACCAGTTGGGGCTGCATCCGAGCACCGTACGTCTTTGCAGGCGGTAACTGGCTAAGAATTGGGTGCCTTTGGTAACGCTTGGTCGCACGCACGGCCGAAGCACTTCGAAAGGAAACGAGCACGTGCCAGAGGTGGAGCTACGCCGAATTCCTAGGCCGTCGCAGATTATAGGCATGGAGAAGGTTGTGGGCAGGGAGCCCTGGCCTGGGCTGCGGATGAGCTTGGTCGGCTTGGGACCATCACCGTGGCCATTTCTGGGAATCCTTGGCGGCATTAAATTTTGCATGCATCTATCTTTTTTTTATTCTGCTCCGAAGTCTGGATGCACCCGGAGAGCGCGTAGAAAAAAAATGAGAGGCACTATCAAGCGGCTCCGGTGCAGCGTTAGACTTGGTTACTGCGCAACGGAGGCGCACAGCTGGGCAGTGCGTCTGCCGCAGCTATGACGTCACTCCTCTGGAATGCTCAGACCGGCCAGGCGCGCTTTGCGGCGGCAGCGAAGCGCGCCAGCTGTGCGTCATGTGATGTCACTGCTCCTCGCGCCTGCGCAGCACGGCTCTTTGGGAGCCACGCAAAACTGCTCAACCTCGGCCAGTGTAGCTCACGCTACAAAAGTGCTCCTCGGCAGTCGTGGCAAAGTAACCAAGCGTTACTTTGCTACGTTTTTTTTTTTTTTTTTCTCTTTTCTTTTTAGTTGAATACTTATCTTTTCTCTTCGTTGAATACTGATTTTTTTGGTTGGTGTCGTACACATTTTTTTTTTATTATTGTTTTGTGGATTTGGGTTTTGAGCCATTTATCAATGCATAACTATGAGCCCAGCTCTCTCTAGTGTGTGCATCATTGTTTACAATGTCTGTAAACTTTTGCACCGGTTTGTTGCATTGGTGCCAAGAACAGGAGGGGTTTGTTTGCTGTCGGTCGAAATAGGCGGGCATTTCCTTTGATCGAGACGTTTGAGAACCTCCAAAGGAGGATAACTAGGTGGCTCGGTAAGACCTTTTCATTCCTTTTCCTTACGTCACCAACTCCCGCGCAGAAATGCTCCAGAACATTGCAAGACACCGGTCTTGCAAAGGTGTTGAGTATGAGAGTATTGGGCAAAACATATTTTTGCTTTGTGTTTGCGACACCAAGATCATACGCCGATTTCCGAGGAGCAGGATGCATCCGGAGTCTTCAAAGGTTGTGTGGTGGGCACCAGTTGGCGTGCAACTGCGCTCTCTTTGCGACGCAAGCGCCGTTTCGAAGCGACAGATGATGACGCACATGCGTGTGCTATCAAGAGAGGTGAACGTCGCCGGTGCACCGCTGCGGCACAGAGGACCAAAATCACGCTGTGCTGCGTCCCGCGCAAGAGCGACAGTTGCCTCCCGCGACATGGGGATTGCAAGCGGAAGACTGTTCCGGTACTTAGACCCGCTAGAGAAGCCGTGCCTTGGAGTAATCACAATGGCCAGTCATCTCGAGCTTTATCCGAAATTACAAGAAACGAACGGCTTTCCGCCTTGCAGGAACGTCAAAACAGTCCGGGACGGAGCAAAACTGCATTGCCCGGGCTTTCTTTCGGTCCGTATTTAAATCTCGAGGAGCCGCATTTTTTTTAATCATAACTGTCGCCAATCGCTCCCCTTCTTCACCAAGCACCGCGACAGAGCCACCGACAAAAGAACTGGAGAACGGAGTGCCGCTAAATTACACCGCTCCTGCAACATCCAAAAGACGTCTGTTGCAGGCATGACGACGGAATTGCATGCGGGTGCGAATCGAGCATGTTCCCAGCACATTTGTCTTGTACGTTACTTCCAACAGTTTCTGTACAGCCAGCGTGACGAAACTGCCTCACGAGGAAGAGACACGTCTCGGACAGCCTGTGCAGTCTGTCTCTTGTAAGCTGTATATTTGCACCATAGTTCCGAAATTTGGTTTTTGAAGATTGACAGGCACTTGTCACTTTGTCCCCGGGCATTTTCGCGAAAGAAGTCTCATTGTCTCGGAGACATAATAAAATGGGTCTGTGCCTGTTTTTTTGCCACAGTTCAGAATGAACTGTTTACGCACTTTGCTATTTTATGGAAGCCACGTCTCGGTCGCGCGTCTCCAATTTTCATCATTCTTTCTTTCTCTGGTAGGTGGAGGCGCAAGATATACAATAAGGGGTATAAATAACTTAAATGGGGCATCGGGTATTTTTTTAGATGCCCGCAATAAATACTTCTTGAAACTTATAAATTTGAAGGTGTAATAAGAAAGCTAAAAATCATCGTAGGGCTTCCATTTATAGCTTTAACGTCGCACAGACCTTTCACATTACTGAGATGCGTTTATATTATGATTTGAATATCTCAATTTGTCTTAACCCTTCCCGCAACCTTTGAGAATGGAACTTTAAATATTTACGATACTCTTTAGGCTAGATCGAAACCAGGTACATATTTGTAGAGATATTCTAAAGGCAGATAAGCTATGCAAATTTCTTTCAAATTGGATTATAAGTTATATGAAATGGGTCTAGAAGTGGCATTGACCTAAATTATTGAGTGTCTCGAGTGGTACCCTGCTTTGCAAGTGGAGCAGACATAGTCACCCTATTCAGATGTGACCCCTGGTGACCTTGCGTGCATTGCAGAACCCCCCGTGGAGCCTCCCAAGGCCGCCGAGCCCGGCCCGGTCTTGCCCGCCGTGGAAAAGAGTGCAGAGCCGGACGCTGCCCCCTCCGCAACCAACAATTCCACGACCACCGAAAAGCCCACGGAGCCACCGGCCAAAGCCGAAGCCGTAGTCCCCGAACCGACTCCGGCCAGACCTACGCCTCCTCCTCCGGCGGAAGACAAAGGTTAGTTGCACTCTACTCGCGCAGGTTTTCTTGCTAGGCCCTTCTCGCAACTCAGTACTGTGAGTGCCGCCATAGTCCAGCAATATGGTCACATGCACCGTAACAAATGCGTCTTTTATGATCTCCGTTCGATCGAGTTAAACGTCTATTGGAGCAAGACTTGAGGGTGTAGACTAGCTTTATAGGTACTGGGGGCAGGCCAAAGAGACTTGCTAATTTTCCGCTTTGTTAAGGTGGTGAAGGGTAGGGAGATGAAAGTCTTCTTGGACATTATTTTGAATGGTGGTTCTCAACCACTGTTGTTTAAGTGATTCCTTCTGGTTCAACAGAGGTGATGGGGGACCCCATCCACTTGGACGATTACTATGACGAAGGGGTAAATATGAAAACGGAATGCGTGCAAAATTGAAGCTCTGAAAAGGAGAGTAATGAACCCTACCCGCTCAGCACACATGGTTTGGTGTATTTAGCTTTGTAAGACGCGTTTTATTGCTCAGCTTGACTGACGACCAAGGGCTTCGGGAACCCCAAGAAGGCCTACAGGGACCCCAATTTGACAACCACTGGGTTATAAGTTGCAGGACCTTGCATGTTGTCGGTTTGCGCAGACTGCTCTGGTTCTGATAATGGGCTGTATTATGATAAAACTGGATGGTTAGTACCAAGTCTTAAAAATTGCACAGAGAAGCTTTCTTAGTGCTCGAATTAGTTTGTGACGAAATGTGACACTGCGCGTTAGTGGTCGGGTCACTCGAAAGGAAGGCGCAGTAAACGTGCCTGTTGGGAGATGCCTTCCAGGCTCCGTTCTTGCACCACCGGAAGCCTCGATTGTCCGCTCTGGGCCTTTCCACCTCCGTCTCCGCAGCGCCCGCCGCCGAGAGTCTGGAGAAGGCCGGGGCAACGGTGGTGAACGGGACGGAAGCCAAGCCGGCGGCGCCTCCTTCCACCGTCGCCCCGGTGGTGGTGCCCCCCGCAGCCCCCGTGGTCGCCGCCCCGCAGCAGGCAGCCCCCAAGGAGAACGGGGACGTGGGGTCCGGGGACAAGGGCCCCCTCCCGGAGGAGGACAACCGCGGCTTCCGGGTGGCCTGGCTGGACCTGGCGCAGCGAGGCGGAGGCTCTGACACGGAGGCACTGCTGACACAGGTGGGCGTCCGACGGCCGTAGCACCCTCGGCGTTGCCGCGGCCGCAATGTGCCATGCTTTGCGATTGTGGTTGACAGAAACGTGGTTTACTCGTGGCAGTCGTACTTGGTGTCATTGCGAAATAGCATTCTTGCGGTTCTCTGCAGATCTCGTGGAAGAAGCTGGGAAAGTTGGGCAGACTCCTAGCTTCCTGCAGATTATCTGTGCTCTGTTTACGCTCTAAGCTGGCAGAGTGGTGGAAGCTGCGTGCTCGTCGAACCGGTCGTACGTCTCCCCTTGGCCACGCAATCGCGCTCCCGCCCTCATCCACGTGCAGGTTCAGGTGATGAAGGGAGGCATTTGATCGGTCCAAGGGTCACGTGGTTCCCACCGCACTGTCATGCGGGGGTGAACAGAGTGGCTCGTGCACCACGAACATAACTGCATGTGTTGCGTGTGTACAACATGTTGAATCTTTGCACGCAATGCCATTTCCATGTATTCTCGGTGCTGTCGAAAGAAAGAACAATAAGGCATTGGGCATTGAAAAGACTCAGCGGCCCGTGCCTGGAAGTCTTGAGCGTCGGCTGCTTCGCTCATTAGGGGGGGCACGGCCCCGAATTACCGATTTTTCGCGAAAAAACACCTTTTCAGAATTACATAATTTTGGCATTATACTTAATAATAACACCCTCAAAAAGTTTTATCAGCGTGCGGTGACAAACAATACCAAAAATAATCATTATTGACTCGCCGGTAACGTGTGCGAGAAGTGCCGTGCTTGGCTGAGCACGGAGAGAACCGTGATAGGCATCAGTTTCGAAACATGATTGCTCCGCGGCTGCTAGGCCTAGCTTGCATCGGGTGGTCTCGTTCGAAGCGTTGCTTCGGGGGCTTTCAAATTTACTTCTTTATTTATTTCTTTACCCCTCCGTGCACGGGAGAGCGCCTCGTAGAAAACGCTTGTTCTGTGGCAAGAATGGCGCTAAAAAAACCAATGGGCGCTGCTATTGGCTGAGGTTATGAAACCCGTGCTGCGAGTGGCTGTCCTTGGTCACGTGATTCTTCGCGCGTGGTTCACGTTCAGAACACTTTTTTTCGCTGATCTGACCACTTCGCTTCGTTTCCCTTCGATCTTCCCTGCTTCTGTTTTCACTACGAAATGCCCGCAACTAAAGCTAATACGTGTAGAAGCTTTGGTAGACGCTCTCGCTTCACAAAACCGAGAGGTCGCGGATCCCGCAAGTGCTCAGAAGCTCCGGAGTTGACTTCGTCGCCTGCACAGTCAAGCTGCAGTTTGACTTCGTCGGAACCATCGGAGGATACTTCTACGTCGCATTTTGTGAATGCTTCGCTCCCGGAGGAAGTCGATGACTTGACTACTTTCGAGCGGAAGATTCTGCTTTTGGAACGCAGCAGGGCCGAGCGTGACCCGATCGATGACGGCGATCCATCTCAATTGCTCGACGGACATCGCTTTGTGCACATTTCAGCCGTGTGGACTCTGGTGAGTGCCTTGTTGTGTCCTACTTGTTTGGGATGCGGTTTGGAGTTGGCAGAAGATGGAACTGGAGCAAATTTACAGTTCGTGATCGTCTGCAATTCTTGTGGGGAGATCGCGAGGGCACCGCACTCCGCGCCTGTGGGAACGACTCAGCAAACAAACTTGCTGTGCGCCTCTGTGTTGTCGGTCGGGACTGCGGAATGAGCTTCACGAAGCTAAAGAACTTTTTTGAAGGCATGAGTGCACCACCGCCGATGCATCTGAAGACCTACCAGAACATAGCAGCCAAAATGCATGACGCGTCAATGGAAGCGGCAAGCGACGCGATGAAGGAGGCCGTGAAGGCTGTGAGAAAGATGCTGGCAGAGGAGTCTCAAAGTGGAGTACAGGACGACGGAGTCTATCTTCTTGACGTCTGCGTCAGTTACGACGGCACATGGCAAAAGCGTGGCCACACGTCTCACTTTGGGGTCGGTGCAGTCATCGAACTCGAAACTGGTTTGGTCCTCGATTTCTCCGTGCAGAGCAACTATTGCCATGGCTGCAACCTCGGTCCCAAGAAAGATTCGAATGAATATCAAGCTTGGGCGAAGTCGCATGAGGAAGTCCGCCAGAAGAACTTTGAGGGCTTCTCTAACGCGATGGAAGTGCAAGTAGCTGGTGACATCTTCAGCCGCTCAGTGGAACAGCACAACATGCAGTATGTGACTGTGCTCAGTGACGGGGACAGTAAGGCTTTCAACCATGTTGCAAGCTTAGGCCTCTACGACAAGGATATCCAGAAAGAGGACCGCGTCAACCATGTGGCAAAGCATATGTATGCTGGAATGGACAAGGTGAACAAAGCCAAGAAGGGGCTTGGAGGAAAAGGCAAGCTCACCAATGTCGGGATGAAGAGACTTACAAGCTTCTGTGTAACCGCATTGAAGGACAATGCTCCAGATGTTGCGAAGATGCAGAAGGGGGTCTCTGCAAGCTTACTTCACAGCTACTCGGCTGACGCTGAGCCCCGGCACCAGGCATGTCCTCAGGGTGAAGACTCCTGGTGTCATTTCAATCGCCACAAAGCCCTGGCAGCAGCTGGCAAGCCAAGTGCACCACGCCCACATCGGCCAGCCTTCTCAAGGGACATAGCAAAAGAGCTGGTGCCGCTGTACAACCGTCTGTCAGACTAGACCCTGCTGGCGAGATGCTGCAGGATGAGAACTCAAAATGCCAACGAATCCTACAATGTGCTCATCTTGAAGAGCTGCCCAAAGACCGAGTTTGCGTCCCTACGTACTGTCGAAACCGCTGCTGCAATGGCGGTTCTCGAGTTTAACCTGGGTCTGCAGGGCTTTGAGAGGGTGCTCGAGAAGATGGGCATGAAGCCTGGAAGCCACCATCTGGAGCACACGAGGAAAGCAACTGAGCTGAAGATCACGCAGGCCAAGGCAAAGGCGCTGGATGCCTCGAAGACTACCCACAAGCGAAGGAAGTTAGAAGCAGTAGCAGCAGAGCAGAAAAGGGTTGAGGAAGGTGTCAACCTATGCAGCTAGCGGATTCTAGTGAGATAAATAAAAAAAATCCAACTTGAAACTTCAGACGCGTTTATCTCAGCTTTGACTCTTTTTAGTGTCAAATATCAGTACAGGGAAGCTATCATTTCATAATCAAATTATGCGTGCACAATATTTTGGTTCTTCTATATTGAAATTTTTTGGGGAACACAACTGTGAACTTACTTTCTGCATTTTTATGTTGTTTTTCTATTAAGGGGGGACACGGCCATGAAAATCGATATTTTTTTTTTTTTAAAAAGTTAATTTTGAAAAATTCCATTTTTAGGCTCACAAACTTCTGCAGAGTATCTCCACGAAGTTTCATTCGTGTCCGCTGCGTAGTTATTTTGCTACGTGATATTTTAGACGCGCCGATAACGCGAAAGGATGCGAAGCGGCGCCTCGCGCACGGAGCGCTGCAATGTTTACGTTTTTCACCACGGAGGTGCTCCGCGCACACTAGGCCTTACGAGAAGATCATACCCTCGTTGGAAAGCTTATCTCTTCTATTTTCTGCACCGATAGTAATCGTCGTTCAAAAGTAAATAAGCGCCCTGGGAGACGTCCGTGAACCCCGTCGGAATTTACGTGTTTTCGCGCTAAAAGACGCTATGCGAACTCTTATTGGCCGAACTAATGAAACGTTGGCTCCTATTGGTCTCTGTACGTCACATGCTCTCTAGCTTGGCTAGCTCGCTCATTGTCTGCTAGTTCTTGTTTAGAAGCCTACTCTATCACTTCGTCGGTCTCTACTTCGTGAACTTTTCAGCGAGTTTTCTTCGATTTCCTTTCGGCGATAGTTTTGAGGAGATGCCGCTGATGAAGCCGCGATCGCCGCTCGCGATTTAGAAAACTGCGAGGACGCAATGCCGCAACGCGCGCACCCGCCGCTGATGACAACGATCTCGTGTCTTCAAGATCATCGCCCGTTCCATCCGAGGCCGCAGCAGCAGCAGTGGCGGCGGCAGTACCCGAAAGTGCTACGCTCCGTGAGTCGGACTTGCTCACCGCTTTTGAGCGGAAGATTAGATTCCTGGAGGAGGCAAGCCGAAGCGACGGGAGCACCGAAGATGCCGAGAGTTCCGGAGAGCCTTGCGGGGATGATGCGGCCAGCTACCGTTTGGTGGATGTGGCTTGTCTGCGAAGCTTGGTGAAAGTTCTGCTGTGCCCGACTTGCCATGGTGGTGATCTGGAACTTCAAGAACATGGCACCGGAGCTCATCTGATGTTCGTCGTCGAGTGCCCCACTTGTAAAGCAATCGTTTCGGCGCCGCTCTCGTCGACCATTGACAGCACTAGACAAACTGAACTTCCTGCGCGCCTCGTAATTGCTGCGCGCAATTGCGGGATCGGTTTCACAAAGCTTACCGAATTTTTTACGGAACTGAATGCCCCTCCGCCAGTGCACCTCAAATCGTACCAAAAGATTGCGACGAAGGTGCATGACGCGACCACGCGAGCGTCAGCTAACGCGATGGCAGAGGCTTGTGGAGACGGTGCGGAAGGTGTTGGGAACGTCGGATGACGAGGAGCAGGTGCAAGATGTCTGCGTCAGTTATGACGGGACGTGGCACAAGCGAGGCCATACGTCTCATTTTGGCGTTGGTGCTGTTATTGAACTTGACACCGGTCTAGTTTTAGACTACGCGGTGGTCAGCAACTACTGCCACGGTTGCAGCCTTGGACCGAAGGAGGGCTCCGAAGGGTACAAAGAGTGGCTACAAGAACATGAGTCCAAATGCCAGAAGAATTTCAACGGATCTGCCAATGCCATGGAGGTGCACGCAGCAGAGTTGATCTTCAGCCGGTCGGTGGAACTACACAAGCTGCAGTATGTGACCGTGCTTTGTGACGGCGACTCCAAAGCCTTCAACCGTGTTTCTGCACTGCACCTCTATGACAAGGATATGAGCAAAGAAGATTGCATCAACCATGTCGCAAGGAGGCTCTATGCGGGAATGGAGAAACTGAAGAAAGTGAAGAAAGGGCTGGGAGGACGGGGAAAGCTGTTGAACGTCATAATGAAAAAAATGACAAATTACTATGCAAGTGCCCTCAAGGAGAATGCCCCAGATGTGACAGCAATGCAGCGGGGGGTCTTTGCAACCCTGCTGCATATGTATTCCACCGATGAAGAGCCCAGACACATGGCGTGCCCCAAAGGGGAAGAGTCGTGGTGCCACCACAACCGCCACCTCGCACTCCAAGCAGCTGGAAAGCCGTCAGTTGCCAAACCTCACCGGCCGGCCTTCTCCAAAGGAGTGGCCAAGGAACTTGTGCCGGTGTACAATCGCTTGGCACAGAAGGACTTGTTGGCCAGATGCTCATGCATGAAGACACAGAATGCCAACGAGTCCTTCAACGCTCTCATCTGGAAAAGGTGTCCGAAGACGGAGTTTGCTTCTCTCCAGACAGTAGAGACTGCAGTAGCCCTTGCAGTCCTAGAGTATAATCTAGGACCAAAGGGCTTTGAAAGGGCCCTGCTTGAAATGAAGATGGAGGCCGGAAGTCACCACAAGTCCCAGGCAGGCAAGGCAACTCTGCACCGACTTGCCAGGTCCCGAGCAAGCGCGCTGGAGTCGTCGAAAGTTGCCCACAAGCGACGCAAGATGGAAGCGGTAGCCTCCGAACAGAAGCGCCTCCGAGAGGAGGGTCCTACCTACGCTGCTGGACAATTTTAGTGATTTCTCAGAGCCGCTGAAGAAACAACAGTGGTGTGGAAACTTCAAACGCTTTTTTCTCCGTTCCCTTTTTTCTGTATAAATTCTGTTTTAGTCAGCCTATCATTTCGTAATAAGACAAAAGGGAAAGCTCGTTTTTCGCTTTTCTTGACTGAAATTTAATAAGGAATGCGGCCATTGAATTTTTTTTTTACTTTTGAAAATATTTTAGAAAATATTTTAATGTTTTGTCGAAGACATGGAAGGCCAGAAATTAGATTGATTTTTCAGAAGATAATTTTTATAAAAATAAATTACTTTTTGCAAAAAAATTTTTTTGGCCGCACTCCACAGGCGTTTGACTACATATATTGCAAAAACAAATGTTGGAGATTGCATTAGTTATCCAATGATAGGAAAACTAAACAATGATGGGATGCTGCTGATATAAACCACTGTAACTTGCTTCACAATTCATCTACAGGGCTGAAACTTTGCATAGCATCCTTTATTGTGACCAGTAGTATACCCTGTAAATTTTATTCATTTTAAGCAAAGGGTTCAAAAGTTGACTATTCTGGGTAGTGTCTCCCCTTAAAAGTTTATATTTCTTTTAATCAAATGTACACCAAAAAAAAAAAAAAAACTTTTCCATATTTTTTTTTTGTGAATAAATTTTATAATTTTTGAAATATCTTTTCATAGTCGTCTGAAGCAAGTATTCTGCTGTATGTTCCAGCACAAAAACTGGCCATTTTCATTACCCTTTTTAAACAATAGCTTTCCTCAGCAGATACACTTTTTTATTCTGAACTTTTATTTAGCTCATTGTGCGATAAATTTATAGGGTTGAAAATTTCCATAGCATCCTTGTCCAGTGCTATGAGTACACCCTGCAAATTTCATGCAAATAAGACAAATGATTCAAAAGTTAGCCTTCTGGAGTAGTGTTTCCCCTTAAAAGCAATTCTGGGTACAGCGGTTAGATCCATAGATTGATCCAAATATTTCTGCGCTACATTGTTAGGTTAGCAGGGTTTTCATGGGGCTGCAGACTTGCACTGCCGTGCGACCGCGAGGCTTTTTCTCGCATCTCTTACATTCTCGTGCGAGGGAGATGAAGCTACGTGCTCAGTTTGACACTGTCCGAGTGCTGCGGAAACTATTCTAGCCTCCACTATTATATTCTTTATTCTATGTTATTTCATACTGAATTTCATTTATGGGCTCTTTTTATACTGCATTGGCTTCGATGTTTCCCTTTTCTTGTTTTCGCTTTCGTCTTTTGATCACTATTTTCACTTCCTCACTGCTTTTGTAAATGCATTAAAATGTTAGTGCTACAGTCAGTGACAGGTTAAGAGTAAAGTGGAAGCTCCTCCCGCCTCTTCCCACTTCAGCAAGGCGAATGCTGGAGAGGAAGCGACCTCCTTTCCAGACTTTGCCCTGCCATAGGGGAGAGGGGTGGGAGGAGCTTTTACTTCACCCTCAAAAAGGCACTGACACCTCAAGTCTCCCTTGATAAAGAATTCCCCAATTCTTTTTTTAATTTTCTGCCGGCCGATTTGTTGTGGTGTCGGAAGACTACCCAAGCAATATTTTGCTAGTGTCACATATATTGTTAGTAAAGTAAAAGAAAAAAAAACAAAAAAAAAAACGAAACTGTTTGAATCTGAAATTGAAGCTGGGCTGTGGAGCAAGAAGGAATATAGGGAAGACAAAAATAACCAAACAACTCTGAAACTTTTTTTTTTTTTTTGTAATCAACGTATTTGTTACTTTTTTGAAGGCACAAAAAATGGGTATCATATATTTTGCCTGCTTTTAGTACAGAGTCTGGGCCTTCGATAACCCACGACTTTGATTATCTTTGGTGGTTGTGTCTAAACCATAGAAAATGGCACAGGACCACGGAGAAAAGTTTTGAGCAAAACTCGAACCGACCAGTTCTCGGATCGTCGGTTTTTAAGTGGAAAGAATACAAATTTTGAGCTGTGAATTGTGTTCTGGGTAGTTGGGCTGTTATATGTTGTGTACAATTAAAAACCTTGGTGAGCATAAATACCCTGTCAGTGTCCCTCTAGCTTGTCACCGTCCGTATTCGCGTCTTCAATGTTCTCGTCCTTGTCTGTCCTTCGCGCTATTTATTTAGTCCTAAGGCTTATCCAACTAGCCCGCGTCAATATTTTAGTACAAAGAAGCTTCGCTACTTTGCACGACCGTTGTCAGAGGAGTGCACAAGGGAGCACCTCAGTGGGCCCGGTGGGCTCAAAAGTCGTCTAGTGTGAATGCTAGACACTCGCTCAGACGCGGGCCCCTGTTCGGCAATCGGAAGGCAGGTAGCCGACTGTGAGTGGGTGTGCCCGCAGGTGTTTGCCCTGGACGCGGACGTGGTGGGGCTGCAGGGTCTGGGGGGCCCCTCGTCGCCCGGCTGGGGCGGCCCCCTCCAGGCGGGGCTGGAGTCCCTGGGCTACCAGTGCCTGCGGGGGGGCTCCGGGGACTGCCCCCTGGCCCTGCTGGTGCGCAGGAGCGCATTCACGGTGCAGGACCACTCCTGCGTCTCGCTCCAGGCCCTGGTCAACAAGGTGAGCCGCTGTTCTTCGCCCCGGCGACTGCCTCTTGGTGTCTAGCAACCTGGGACACCTGGAATAAACCTTTTCTGAACTTGTGAAATGATGAGTAGATTGTGCGCAGGGTGCCCTTCGTCGTTCTCGTCGCTCCCAGCGTAAAGCTCGTGATTGGTTCTGAGTGCGTGCCAATCACTGACGGAGCAACTCATGTGAAATGCATTTTGATCCGAGTATGCTACGAATACTGACGAAGCGGAGCGGAATCATTAAACAGTTGGTCGAGTCGAGGAAAATGGCCGATGCGGGCAGCTCAGTGACGCGGAACAAAGCGGGAAGGTGCGTCGATATGATGGCCTTCGTGCTGACTAACGGTTGCTTGAGGCGTCGCTGGGCACTGTAAGCCACCTTCCGATTCACCGGATTAAGCGGAAACAACTTGAACACGCGGTACAACCCTGTGATCTGCTTTTTAACGCAGAATCTGTTCTATGAGTCGTTTTCTATGAAAAAAATGGTCACAAACAAGCTTTGTGAATGAACAATAAGAATGAGTGTCATGAACAACCAACTCTCTGGAAGCGTTCCACAATATTAAAAGATATATGCAAAGGAAAAAGACCATTTTTTGGACAGCCTGGATGAAAAAACAAAACCCTAAAATAAAAATAACAAAACCGAAAATTTTTTTTTAGAGCTATATGTATGGCGTGACATGAATTAGTAGTTGGCGCTTGCAGAGCCCACGGAACAGTGACTATTAGCAGTTGCGTGACTGGCCACTTGTTGCGTGGTAGACTTGTGCACCGCCGCAAGTTATGATGGAGCCGTTCAGCGTCACCGCTGAAGTCCCCAGAACCCTTACGCTGTGTAAAGTGCCGCCGGCTCAGCGTTTCTTGTTTTTTTTATACACAGAAAGTAATTTAAAATAATCTTTAAAATAAAAATAAAAAACTTCATGCATCCTATAAAAGAATAACAACATTAAAAAAAAAGGTTTTTTATTTTGATTTTTTTCAGCATTATTAGCGTGTTTTTTTTTTTTTTACGCCGCTGCCAGAAGGAAACATTTTGGTGCACTGCAACTGTCAATTTTTAAATGGTGCACATGTCTATTGCAGGTTCTTGTGCTTTTCCGGGAGCTTTCTATCGGCTCTAAAGGTTACTTGTTTATATTCTTTTCTTGAAACGGAGATTAATGAGTAACTTTTGGAGCCCCTAGGAGGCTACCAAGAGTGCAAGCACCACGTGACTATGGTGCCCAGTCACGTGACCCTAATAGTCCCATTCGGTGGGCTCCAACCACAAATTTGTTTCAAGCTGTAAATATAGCTGTAAAAATTTCTTTTTTGTAAATTTATTTTGACATTTGTTTTTATAACTGCCAACCTAGCAACATAAAAATTCGGGAGACTGCCGTGAGGGGGAGTCAAAACATTTCTTTTTTAGTTTGACAAGAAACCCTGTGAAGGGGCACCCTGCATAGATCACATTGTCTTGGCAGTTGTTTTGAAGTAAACTGCCGATGGTGCCCTGCCCTTCTACAGCACGAAGGTGGTTGTGAGGCTTTCGTGGGGTGATGTGCATCTGATGTCAGGCTTGCCACCGTGCAAAACACTCGCATCACAGATGCACATGGTGCAGAATCCATACTTGTCAGCTTTCTATGAAGCGACAAAGCACAAAAACTCAGTCGCCTCCAGAAGCTTTCTGCGTTCAACAGCACGACACTTTGGCTTTTGCGGCGTCCTTTTCGCCACTTCAGGACTGCTTTTGACGCGCGGGCGGAACAGGGTGCCAAACACGCCGTCCAGAGACACATTTCACATGCCGTAGCGAAACGGGGAAAGCTGGAGATGGCCTCTGTCACATCTTTTTTTCGTCGTCCCTTTAAGGACCTGGAGGCGTCGTCCCTGGACGAAGGGGACCGGAGTGCAGTGCAGGCCCACCTGGGTTCCTCGGCAGAGGGCCAGCTGCTCACAGCACGCCTGAGTCCCAGCCGCCCCGCGGGGGGCCCGCGCAGCCTCCTGGTGGCCAACGCCTGCCTGGCACCTGCCCCGCCCGGCGCAAACGCCCTGCAGGTGAGCCTTGTCACCTGCCTTTCGTCTTGCAACCGAAGAGACGGACGTAGAACGAGAATGAGGACTGAGAAATGGCGAAGAATGGAGTCTTTTCCTCTGTCGTAGCTTTCGCACCGTCTTTGGCATTTGTTGGTTCCTGTTCTTCCTTCGTATGCTCGCACCGTTTTCTGCGACCACCGGGACATAAATGAGAGCTTGTCAGTAGCTTGGCGGTAGAGCTCAGAGTGGGAAGGTAGGCGGGATTGCTACCTTTCGTTACGTGGGAGTATTTGCCGCAATCCTCGTTGCAAAGATGGCGGCCGAGGGTGCCGATGTTAGAACGGACGTTGGAATTCTATCCGTGGCAACTTCGCTCAGATGGAAAGGAGTGAGGATTTTCACTTGCCAACGAGGTGAGGACGGCTTGGTGAAACTTCAGTGTTCCCGCACGGAGACCGAGAGTTTTGGAGACATTCCCTGCCACTCCCACTGAAATGTCTAAAGCTATATCTTTAAACCGTCCATCGCGTCGACTGGAATATTATTGTGACAAACCCACCTGGCTAACCAAGTGGAGTTTCGTGGCTTTGCGACTGCACATATTTTCTCGGAAGCTCCTTACAAGAAAAGGGCCGTCTTTGTCGACCGGGCCGTCTTTGTTTCTTCCTCCCGCGTCCCAGGTTTGCTGCCTGGCCCGGGAACTGTGCCGGGAGCAGTGCCAGGGCCGGGTGCTGCTGGGGCGCCTGCAGCTGGCCGCGGGGAGCCCCGCCTACCAGCTGCTCAGGGACGGCTACCTGGACGACGACATGATCGAGGAGCTCCAGCGGCACTGCGACGTGCCCCGCCCGGGCAAAGAGGTAACCCCCTCTAGCATCCCGCCCGAGCGGTCGCCACGGGGTGGCAGGGTCCGCAACCCCGGAGGAGGCAGCTTCACATGGCCCCCGAAAATGTGCCCTCCCTTTTGCCACCTCCTCGCGCAGTCTCGAGGACCACGCGGCAGTTTTGACCTCGAATGGGGCACCTCAAAACTCCAGCCAGATAACGTCTTCGCTTCTTTTTTGCCTTTCCTTCACTTGCTTGCCCCTACTTCGCAACCCGCCGCAAAAGGTCGCCGACCCCCTTTGCGGAGTGGTTGCCGGCAACCACGGTGGAGTTTGTGGCTATTGATGATAAGCTTTCGCAAAGTGCTTTCCACGGCGTCAACATTCCTGGTTTCGGCAGCGTGCGCGGCGAGCGGCGCGACAAAAATGCAGCTTTCCGCAAATACAGCCCATAGTCATTGACAGGATGGGAATGGCAGAAGTGTCCTTTGGTTCTCCCCCCCCTCCATCAAGAGCTCCCTGCCGTGGTACCACGACCCAAGGGAGGCCTATTACAGAGAGATTTAGGCTTCACGCCAAGATTCCTCCGGCAGCGTGCCTGACACCCTCGTAAAAGCTTCTTGCCTTCTTGCCTTCCGCACGTCTCGCGAGCCTCGAGTGAGCACGCTAGTGATGCAAAACTATCGATACCATCGATAGTTTTTTAAAAACTATCGATAGTGTTGCAGAACTATCGATAGTACTATCAACAGTTTTTCGATAGTCGACTGTCGAAAGTACTATCTATAGTTTTTCGATAGTTGACTATCGACAGTACTTTTGATGGTCTTTTTACGTTCGATAATCAGATTTCTGGCGACTACCAATAGTACTATCGATAGTTTTGTACCACTAGTTTGTAGTAGTACTCGGGTGCGGAGCGTGCACAGGTGCCGCACCGCCACTCGCCCCCCTTTCTCCTCTCTTTGCCCAAATTATCATCTTCTTTATCACTGAAAACTGAACCAAAGTTGGGATTGTAAATGCTTGGGCTAGTTGGTGTCCCATTTGAAACAATAAAGCGAGAAAAAGAGAAGAGGGAGCGACGCAAACTACTAGCGTCGCAAAACTATCGATGGTAAATCGTCGACAGTACTATCGATAGGTTTATGATAGTCGACTATCGATATTACTAACGATAGTTTTTCGATAGTTGCCTCAATATTACTATCGATAGTTTTTCTATAGTCAACTATCGATAGTTTTTTTTACTATCGTCAGTCAGATTTCTGGTGACTATCGATACTATGGATAGTTTTGAATTACTAGTGCACGCACTTCAAACCTGCACAATCTGGGTCGTAGAAAATCCGGCGCTATGTCCTCGTTGTCTGAGTGTTGCTGGGACACGCGAATCACTGGCACACTTGTGGTGTATTCGCACAAGAGATCTTTATCGCCGGAGAAAACCGAGTTTATCATAGAGCTGAGAGAAGGAAACGGCACAAGGAGGAGGAGGCAGTGCAGAAAGTTCGAGCGAGCATTCGCACGACGGAGTCACATGTTGTTTAGTCGCCGGATTCTTTCTTTTCACAAACTTGTTGGCGACTTTCAGGGGCTCATTGAACAAAAGGCAGGGAAAAAATAATAAAGAAAAGACTCCCCGCACTTTGAGCCTGCTGGCGACTTTCAGGGGCTCATCGAACAAAGAGGCAGGCAAAAAATAATAAAGAAAGGCACCCCACACTTCAAAGCTACTCATCATTATCCCTGCCCAAAAGAGGGGGCCCGAACGCTCCGACGGACATTGACGGAACGGTGGATATTCTGTAGGCCTGTCACAGATTCTCCTCGGGTCCCCGCGAGCATGCCACGAGCTCGAGGATCAGTGAACATCCGTGACGAGCACGTGACCTCAAAACTCGATGACGATTATTCTTCTCCTCGGGAAGAAACTCCGTTGTGCGAATACACCATTACTGCATCCTCGTGTTTCGTCCCTCAGTTTCCTTCGGGACGGCGTCGCGATCGTGGCGACAGTGCGGGCGGGTACGTCGGACACCCGTTCCGCTATGGGTCTTCGTACAGATCGATGTGCCGCGACGAGAGTTCACGGGAACTTCTACGGCCAATCGCCGGGTTTGTGACGGCACGACGTGTTGGGTTTTGCGACATAATTAGTTTCCACTTTGGGGCACTTTGAACGTGCAGGCGGTGCCATTTGCGCGAGTCGAATGTGCGTTCCTGGCGCAGCCAACACTTTCTCTACGAATCAAACTTCGGGTAAAATCTAAGTGTCGGTTCCGATGTTAACGAGGGTGACATTGACGGTCTTCTCTTTTTTCTTTTCCCCGACAGAATGCGGCACTCGTAAACCTGTTGTGGAAGGCCTTCCAGCACCCTTCTTCAAGTTTACGAAGCTGCTACGCCGCTACAAAGGTGAGCCTGTCGTCCTGCATGGCCGCGTCGCCTGTGCGTGGTAGCTTTGCCGTAGGCCTTTTCCGAAATTAAGTCTCGCCACTTCAATTGCTGCCATTGTCCGAGCGTTTGCTGTCTGTCGCTAATGGCTGCCTTCCTGCGGCCGACGAAGGACAGAGTCGAAGACGTGCGCCAAGGCGAATAACGCTGAACCTTGGACATTCTAGATGTCAGCCCGACGCAACTTGGAGATTGAATATAAGTGCTGCATTAGCATCCATTTTGGGCTCTCATCCTTCGATCAGTCGACTCCCATGCAGAAGCCCCTTGCTACATTCATTTGTATCGAGGAGATTACTCAGGAATTGAGAAAGAACCGTACAGCGAAGAATGTTTTGCGATTGGTGTATGCAGGTCGTAACGTCCGATGGAATGCTAGCCTGATGGTCGAAATGGCCCTGAATTTTGAGAAGGGTGTACCGTCTCGTCCCGATTTCGATAGTTTCGAAGATGTCCGTAATGCATTGGGGCAGACTTGTTTAGGACTTTCTCAGTATCTGAAAGTATTCCTGATTATTTTGCACCAGTGTAGCATTATGTTCAGATTGAGGGGCCATTCTCATCAATCCACGTAATAAATTGTAGAATGACAATCTAAAAAAAAAAAAAGTAGCGAGTTTGGATTTCAGATTTTACATTTTGATGCGACTTAGGAAAGGCCATGTTGCTTTCCGTGTTGAGTGCTGCTACCTCGAAAACTGCGTTGAACATCGTAGGACCTTTTTTCGCCAAAAGGGTATGCCCAAGGTACCGTAAAAAATGTTAGCAGTTTGTAGAACATGGCTAATTTGGCCTGCCTACCTCAGCGGAGACAAGTCACGGTAGTACACTTCTCTTGGCCGGGGACCTCAAGTGGCATTTATGCAAAATATCCAGGTTCGCAAAACATTAGCTCGTGTAGTTACCCAACCCTGCCCCCCCCCCCCGCCCCCCAATTTGTGCAAATTTTTAAGAAAAAAAGGGCATTACTATGCGAACACATACGGTATCTTTGACCCTTCATCTTTATGTGTAGGAACAAAATCGAGACCTAATATTGTTGCAAAATCAGTGCATAGCTAGTCTTTGCAAGAGTAGTTTGTTTGAAGTGGATGGCATTTGTCCTAAGGTTTGGGCGTCTATGTTTTGAGTGGGATCCATCTGCGACTGCTCATGACGAGATGCCAGTACAGGTTGCAACGACCGCCAGTGGCCTAACAATGCATCGTAGCAAAATTCATACCGACACTTTGTGTCTGAACACAAGAATGCCTGGCATATGAACGCGTAGCAATGAGTTGCATCGAAACGCATAGCACCGGGTCGCTATTGAAGCACGTAGCAGAATGCGTCGTATCAAAACGCGTTACGAAAAACGTCGTATTTGGAGTTCATGGCCAAACGTGTCCTATCAGAACGCGTAGCGTCGCATTCTGGCGGAATGCATAGAAAGGTGTCGTACCAGAATGTGTCCAGTCGGAACGCACGGCAACACGCCGTAGTGGAACGCATACCGACGTGTTGTAGCGGAATGCAGTGTGTCGAAAAAGCATAGTGACGCATCTGACAAATTGTTTTGTAAGGAATGATGCATGTGCCTGAACTAGCCTCTGTGTTGTCCGGGGCACGCCAACATGTGCCCCCTCCGTCTGCGCTTTGCAGGGCAGCGAGCTCCCTGGCGGCGCCTCGTCCTCGGCCTGGTTCAGCTCGGAGAGCCTGCGCGTGCTGGAGGCCCCCGCGGCGCAGGACACGGAGCAAGCGTGTGCCGTGCGGCTGGCCTTCTGCCCCCAGTGACGGGCCCCCTCCTCCAATCGCACACGGAGCGCAGACCCTTCGACGGGAGCCCGTTCTCGAGAAGCCATCCCGTTGCCAGAAAAAGGGCGGACGGGCCATTTTCCTCCCTCCCTCGTCCCGTTTGGTCATTTTGTCTTTTTTATATAATCGATCATCACTCGCACCCGAAATCACCGGCGCTCCGCGCTGTCTCCACGGAGTGTCTTCTTGTGTGGCAGAGCTAGCTCTCTTTCTTTTGTCTGGTTTATATATATAGTATACATATGGATGTCGACAGTGCAGAGTTGGCGCGCTCTCGTCGTCCCTTAGGGCGGTCGCAGATTGGCGTTTGGTTTCGTCGTTGGCGAGCGGCAAACAAGTGCCCCTGGTGAATGTCTTACGCCCTTGCAGTGCGACGAGGAAAGTCGCACGCCAGTAGTTTCACCTTTCACAGCGGCGGTAGCTTCGGCTGTCCCACTTGGTAGCGAGAAAGTCGAGATTACGCGGCAGTCGGAGAGGGCGACGCCGTAAGAGGGCAGCCTTTTCGAACGGGCGTTTGTGGGGAGGACGTGTCAGTTCTTCGACGTCGGAAGCAGCCTCTTCGCACTTGAAAAGGGCAAAATGTTTTTGGTGCTGGTGGAGGGCTCGAAAACGGCGGTGCAGTCGAAGTTTCGCCGCGGGGTCGCCCGTGGCTGGTATCGCCCCGAAGGATCCCAGTCCGAATGGGTCGGGAAAAGCGTATAATTGAATGGAGTCCTTAGCTCGGATGTGTCACGAAAATGGTACTCTCCGGATTCGTGGATCGATTGAACATGGCTTATGTATATAGGCATGACTTAGCACTGCGCTAGCTCTGTTTTAAAAGAAGAATTTTTAAGAGGTATAGTTCCTGTCCTTTTTGTGGAAACGAGAAAAACATTTTGTTTTCTTCAAAATTGGATTTTAGCTGTTTATTTTTATCCAGTTTGTTCCGCTGGTGTCGTCTTAACCGGATGGCTACCCTTAGTACCCCGGTTCAATGCCCTCCGTCGCCTGGAATTGGTTAAAAACGTGGGGTTTGCAATGTTTCATCAAGTAAAAGACGCACGGAAAAGGCTAAGGTGCACCCGTTATTCTGCACGTATCTAGCACGGCAGGGCAGAGGACGCTCCGACCTAAAGCCTGGAGTTATTTTTCACTGCAGCTTGAAATCGACCATAGTCTGTTGCTTGCAATATCGCGGCAAAAGGCGACTGCATTCTTCGTGTTCTGACGTGGCCGAAGGACATACTTTGAAAACAACACTGGGCATTGAATGGGAGTATTAAGGTTGCATATGTAACATCTGGTTCCACACAGAGTTCGTTCCTTTGCCATGCATTCATTGTGCCGTCATTTCTCGCGTCGGGGCTGAGCGCCAGAAACCTCGAGCGGCGTTCTTTAAGGAGAGCTCCGGCAAAATTTTGACGGTCGCCGATCTACCTTAAAGTTTGTTTAACACATTAATAGACACATTTGATTTAGTAGCCCAAGTCTCAAGTTGCAATAATTTTCCAGGAAGGTGTTGAAGTTCTTTGATCCGGGAAGCTCTATTGGCCGCACTGAAATCGTGACATCAGGTGTAATATGGGGCAAAATGCGGGCAGTATAGCTTGTTCTCCTATTGGTGCGAGAAGTCTTAGGGGTGGAAATAATGCCGGTTAAGCTCATGCGTGCAAGATGGAAAAAGAAATACATAAAATACTGAGTGTTTTAGATTGCCTACTTGACTCACAAGTTACGCAGTGTGACGTTGCCCCGATGGAGAGGGCAAGAAAATTTCAATGTATGTTTCGGCGTCCCCTCGACTTGACCTTTTCTCGATAGCTATTTTTTGAATGTAGAGATGGTAGTGTGCAGGAAAGAGTAGGTAAAGCCTGAGTATGTTGACAGTGTGTTTAGATTGGGTAGCTAAAACAAAAACAAAAATGCCGGAGCTCCCCTTTAATTAATTGCTGACACGCGGTGCCATCGTCGCCCTAGGAATGCAGCCGGGATGGCACGTTTCCTCGTGTGCAAACTTGCAAAGAAATCAAAATGTACCCCAATCAAGAAGAAAAAAAAAGAAAGTATCTTATTCATTATTTGTTCTAGTCAGCTTCAGTGCAACAGGCCGGTTTCATTCCGATTCGCCCGTCAGATGTGGCATAGAGACCCCGCTTAGGCCAAAACACGTACAAATCATAGAGAATGCTCTTCTATTATTTTTTTTTTCGCAGAAAAAACAATCTTATACGCACGTGTCGACGCTGATTTGGAGACGGGATGCTAGGTTCTGCAATAAGGTCCCACCCTCCGAGTTGCTTCAAATTTTCATCGTTATTGCGTTCCTCTTAATGTCGGGACTGCCGTGAACGACCGAGGGACCATCTGCAGTGACAGGCTAAGAGAATTGTGTATAAGGAGTACAAAATGCAACTTAAAGGAGCGCTGCAACGATTTTTTGCTGTTTCTTTATTTACACCGAACCTGAGCGCTCTGAACATAGTAACTTAGTGGACTTTTCCTTTTCTCGAAATTCGCTTTATTTTAAAAGTTATGGGCATATTAAAATTACAAAAGCAAGAAAAAATAACCTCCATGACGTGCTTGGACCTCTGTGCCCCCTTTTTCCGCACCCGCAGACCGTTGTGACCGAGGAATGTGGGGAGGGAGGGGAAGACTCGGAAAGGATGTGAGGTTGAGGAGAGAGAGCTGCCTGGGGACACGGCAGCTCTTTCCTCAGAGGACCAAAAACGTCACGATTTCGTTGCACACCGCGCGCGTAGGACACCATTGAGAGCCCCCGGAGGAGGAGGAGGTTTCTGCATCGTCTGGTTAAAATATGACTCACTGATATTTAGTTACTCTCTCCGTGCCCGCTGGATTGCCCGAACCACAAGAGACGTTTAAACCGCGAAAAAGGTAGATGCTTAAATATGATTGCAGGGTCCCTTTAAAAAAGCTAAAGAGTTTAATTACAACAAGTGTTTTCATGGTTTAGCAGTTACTGGTGTTTGCTATAAGCTAAAATGGCTTATTTTGGGCACGAATTGGCTTTAGTCCAAAGGTACCCCACCCCGTCTCTCAGTCGGAACGTGTGACGAGGCACTCCCACAGTCGATGCAGTTGCTGCCTCGGTGGCAATTCAATTCCTAGAGGGCAAAATCTTGTTACACAGGACCAGAAGTTTCTTCTTCGCATTGGTTCTTTTCAGAAGCTACCTTTTCCGCATCTGGCTCATTATTTCAGTAACGCCCCGATTAGTACCCCGAATCGCCCGCCCAAAACGGGAGGATAAGACAAAGCAGACACTGGGGGCGTCCAACAATGCGAGTGGCAAACAGTAATGGAGGTTGTAATTCAGCTCACAAGGACCTTTTTCCAAACTCATCCATTTCATTCACCAAGTACAAACGAAGAAGAAAAAGAGCGCCGCTCCCGTAGACGAAAGGTGTCGCGCGACGATGCGTCGGTATTGCCGCCAGCCACCGCGGCCGTCGTTTTAACGCCCCTTTCCCTCCGTCGGCTTTTATACTGTAGCGCATCCGCGCGGATCCGTGGTAACCCTCGTGGTGATCCGCCGTCCCGGTGTAAGGGGGGCGGTTGTCGGGGGGGAGTCGCTTTGGGCACGGCATTCCTTGTAAATGTACCATCGGCAGTTTCTTTGTTTTTTTGTTTCAAGACGCTCGTCTTGAGGCTAACCTTTGCAGAGATACCCTCGTGTGTCGTGACGTGTAGATAAGCCCGCTTCTCAGCGCACTGCGTTGCCGACTTTCTCCCGGTTCGGAAGGTGCAACCATCCCGGACGCGGCGTGGCCACGAGCCGAGGAAATTTGTATCGTCCGCGTTTCACCTTTGTGTGTGTGTTTGCGCGCGCTCTCTGCCGAGGAGTTGTACCGCTTATATCGAATAAATGTCGCAATTGTATACACCTGCGGCGTGCCGAGTGTGTTCTTGCGGGTGCTCCCCTTTGGAAAGATACCTTCCGCCGCGTGTTGGCTGTGGGCGCACGCTCGGGATGTGTGAGACGCCAAAACGTCGTCGAAGGTGGGAAGATCGCACTCGAGACGGGACAACTGGAGGCCTCCTCAACACCGACCATAGCCGGAGATGTTCTTGGGGCTTTTGGGTGGGCCTGCTGGCTTTACTCGGGGTGCCACTTCCGTGGCGCGGGCGTGTTGTGGGTAAGTGGCCTCACGACAGATATCCGGAAGGCCTGTTTGGTTGCAAAATACCTACCGTGCGCTCCTGTGAAGTCTGACAAGATTTTGAAACATTCGTCTGCCGCACGCCTGATGGCTCCCCTTCAGGTGCAAGGGCTCTGTTTGCTCCGTGCTATTAGAGGGTGATGTGGCATGTACAGTTAATTCCCCGCTACATTCTGACTTCATGCTAAGGGTTAATTTCTACACTATATGGTTCTTAAAAATAGGCCTGTGCAATTATAATTTTGACTTTATTCAAATACACTAAAATAAAATTCACTGTCATTATTGTAACTAAGAACTGACCCCTCTACATTTGCCGGGTCATCGCAATGCGACTATAATTTTTTGAGGGTTTCATTTGATTATTCATATACTTACAAATACTTGTTAGTAGGACTTGGGGACAACTTGGCATGTGCTCGCACATTAGCGCCAAACGCAGTTGTGCTCGCCGCATTTTTCACTTGCTGGGTCATTGCAATTGAGCTGTACAATTTTCATTTCGTAAAACGCCCTGTGAAAACTCATTAGTAGCTTGACAAATTACTTTGACCCTTCTCACTAGTGGCTGGGTCATTTTAATAAACTAGACTTGGGGACAACTTGGCATGCGTTCACACATATTGAGCGCCAATCACAGCTGTGGTCGTGCGGTCTTCACTTGCTGGGTCATTGCTTTTTATATAATCCGCTGTGAATACTCACTAGCAGGACGAAAAATTCGAGGACACCGAAGCGCTTACGTGTTGTGAATGCGAAAGCATGAATGTCGAATTGAACGACCGAGTGCTCGAGCTTGGGGTATTGAGGCACCGCCATGTTCGGCGCCGAAAGGAGCGCCCGCTCCTTCCCCCTGCTGCTTTTTGGTACTCGGGGCTTCCTGCGAGCGAGCCTACGATATTTAGCGCCAGTAACAGCTGTGCTGTCTTCCCTTGCTGGACCATTGCAATTGCAGTGATGAATTTGCGCCAAATTGCGCTATGAACGAAAGTCTGCTACATCTCGTGCCAAAGCGTCATTTTCGCTCAAAATTGCGTCAGGATAGGCTTAAAGCAAAATATGAAAATACTTAGTATTGGTCAGCCCTAACATTTAGAAAAGTAGAAGAAAAAAAAATGGAATGAATATATTTCACGGCGTCTCCAGTGGCCATGTAATTTGTTTTATCTTAGGTCTGAGCACAATCGAGAGCTCAAAGGCATACAACCTCGAACACGCATACTAAAAGCGCAAGTCACGGGGCATTGAATGCACCCGATTAGTTTAGCCGTTGAAAAAACACGCACAGGGAGATGAATGCCATGATGTCGCGCTTTTGTGCTGTTCAATTTTATTTATTTATTTATAACAGCTTGAAGGTTCATTTCTGGACATTACACAAGGGGGGGATTTTGTCGAATTACAGTATAGTCAACACTTAAAAGAAGAAAAAAAAAACAAAAAAACAGTACGAACAGGATAGCAATATCACAACTGAAAAACCACTATGACAAAATTATGTATTATACAAATTGTAGGATTCGAGCACATATAACACTTCATTATCTGGGCAAGAACATCACTGTAAACGAAAACTAATTAGTACTTAAAAAATCTAAAACAGCTACTCGGAATGCTGTAGGGTCGGAAAGTGCGGTTATGTGATCAGGAAGAGAATTCCAATGCATGATTGCGCGTGGTAGTGAGGAGTTATTGAACGCACATGTATGACCAAAAATGCGCTTATAACTTCGGCTGTTAGTCAAACGACGAGATGTTCGGTTAGGGGGCTCAAACAGGGGGGCGATAACGTTAGGGTTAGAATAGTGTGCTTTATGAATGATGCATAAAAGGGCAGCGGTGCGACGCATTTCAAGTGGTTTTAAGAGGATAGAGTTTTTAAGAAAGACATTTGCGGCGAGAGTAGGTTGAAGACGCTTTGCACACGCGCCAGAATACAGCCGCCATTGCTGACCTTCTCTTGTTTTACCGAGATACCGAGCCACTGAAATTGGTTAGGACGAGCCTTCACAAAGACCAATGCTGGGGAGCAAGACAGAATAAAATCTAAGATGTCAATAACCTGGCCTGCTATGGTAATAATGAAGTGAAGTAAACGTAATAAGGGGGAACAAAAACTGAAGGTCAGTTATGGCGGCGCCCATGCACAGCTGCTGCAAAGCGTCTATAAAACGAACTGCACGATTTTGGATGCCTTCGATCTGATTGATAAGGTATTTCTGGCGGGGATTTCATACAGGGGAAGCAAATTCGAGTATACACGTTTGCAAGTCCGGCTTCAGGGCGCTGCCATCTTGCCTGTCTGGGGTGCGCTTGGACCAGTCATAATCCGATTACGAAGCCTTGCTAAGGCGTCGTAATCGGATTATGGCCGCTCCCGAGAGCGCACCCCACTGAGGAAGATGGCGGCGCCCAGAGACCGGACTTGCAAACGTGTATAGGGCGAACGTATGTCTCGTACGCTAACTTGTGCAGAGAAAAGATTGCGTCGCAAGTATCCCAGTGTTTTGGATGCGGAACTTGTAATGGCGTCAATGTGGTTAGACCAGGATAGGTTGTCAGATGAACACCTAGGTATTTGTAAGAGGATGAGAATGAGGGGGGCGAGTTATATATAAGATATGAATGACGCGATAGCGATTGTTTGCGACTGAAAGTTACTACATTACATTTTGAACCATTAAGAGGGGGATCGGTGGCCGAGTGGGAGAAAGAAGAAGACGCCGTGTCGAACGGTCGTGCTTTCATGTTCTCCGTTGAAAAGCAGCAATCGGCCTCAGGCCGGGGAAACCCATCTACCTCCGCTTCTTATACTGGTAACGAAAATCACAACTGTACTCGGAGTACACTGCAGCGGCACCCGTGACCCCAAGAGGCGTTCCTGTTCCGGCAACCGGCCAAGATGAGTATAAGATTATACTTCCACGTTTTCCACCTGGAGCCTTGTGCGTAAACTCGGTCTTCCTCCACGCTGACCTCACGGGTCGGCCCTACCGTGCAGTTGACTTTTGCGATGAACTTAGAGGAGTCGTCGATCTGAACGAAGTGGTATCTCTTGGACAGTTTCAGATGAGCCATGTGTGGATGGCGACGCTGGCTAGTCCAGAAGCCACAGAAAAGTTAGAACCGCGAAAGAACTCAGCGTGAAAGGGAAAAAGTGTTTAATCATCGATCCGAACTCAAAGGATGTGAAGCTCAAGCTACTCTGGCTGCCGTCATACTTAGAAGATAAAAAAAATCGTCGACGCCTTAACACCGTTCGGCACGGTTCGAAGCATCGCGCGAGAAAAGTGGCGCGTGCCAGGAATGGAGAACATGGAGACGCTGAATAGGGAGGTCTGCCTAACACTGCACGACACCGCGACGTCGGAAGACGTCCCTCACCTACTGAAGGTTTATGGCATACAATCCCTTCTGGTAATGTCATGACGACCGCCCTTGTGCCTACGTTGTAAGAAGGTTGGTCATATTCGACGACAGTGCCGTACACCGAAATGCGCTCGTTGTAATAGATTTGGGCATGAAAGTGACGAGTGCTTTTCAAGTTATGCAACTGTACTACGAGGCTCTGGCAACGACCTTGACGCCAACCCGGAAATTTTGATGGACATCTCCGAGGTCGTGGACGCTAGCGGAGATGTTCTCTCCACTCAAGCGCAGCCCAGAGAGACACTGCCTCAGAGTTCCGGTGGGAGCAAAACACAAGATGAAAAGGAAGCTTCGGAGATACTCTAAGACACAACACCGACAGAAGCCGTGAAAGCAGCTTCCCAGGAAGAACCGATCAATGACATCTCTTCAACGCCGGAAACGGAAGTACCGAAACAGTCAGCGGTGCCTGCAGACGGACTTGCAAGGTTTGACAACAAAAGTGACCCGTCAGCAATGGACTTGAGCCCTAGCACGTGCAAGGACAGCAGTGACACCAAGAGAGAAAAAAACACCCGCCTGACACCATCGCGAGTAAACGAAAAACCTCCCTTGCACACTAGAGTATACATGAACAAACCCCACCCTACCCCTTCCCCTCGCCCTTCCTCCTCCCTCCCCTCTACCCCATCCTCATTCCTCTCCTCTTTCATTACCTTTAACTGATAGCCTTCGTATTGTTACCCTAAATGTAAGAGGATTTAACTCCCGAAAGAAGCAATATCATTTGAAACGTTTACTTGAAGACAAAGAGGTAGACTTTCTAGCCGTACAGGAAACAAAACTGTCAACGGTAGAACAGGCCATACAATATTTCCTGTGTGACTACGAGGTATGCGTTAGCCATGCTGTAGGTCTTTCCGCAGGATGTTTATTGTTTATTAGAAAGTCTTTTCATTTGTCTGATTTAGTTATCACGACAGACCTTTGCGGGCGCCTCATTATTATGCCGACGATGTCGCATATTTTTGTAAAGACAAGAAAAGCGTTACCAATGCCATGGATATCACTCGCAGCTTTTGTGAGGCCACTGGAGCCTCAGTAAATCTAGACAAGTGTCGAGGTTTCTGGCATGGAGCATGGGCGACGACGCCCAAGCAATACGAAAGCATAGATTGGAGCTGCACGCCATGTAACTACCTAGGAGTGCCATTGAAGCACTACCGAAACAGCACGTCCTACTGGTCCGGAGCTGCGACTGAATTGAAACGACGAGCCAATAACTGGTCACAAAAAAATTTGTCAGTGTTTGCACTTTCGACCATCTGTAATTTATTTTTGGCGGCTAAAGTAT